TGAACGATGCACTAAGTTTAAGTTTATTTATTTTGAGAGAGAGAGTGTGTGTACGCATGAGATGGGGAGGGGCAGAGAGGAATCTGTTAGAAGTGCGGTTTCTTAGGCTCCACCCTAGTCATACTGAGTTGGAAACTCTGGGCTGGGGCCTAACAATCTGAATTCTTACAAACTCTCCGGGTGATGCTACACAATGTGAACTCCTTTTAAAAATTTGTTTAATTTTTTATTTTGTTTTATTTATGTTTTTAAAGTTTATTTATTTATTTTGAGAGAGAGCGAGCAGGGGAGAGGAGAGAGAAAGGGAGAGAGAGAATCCCAAGCAGCTCCATGCCCAGTGTAGAGCCCTCTGTGGAGACATGGAGCTTGATCCTACCAACGAGATCATGAGCGAAAATCAAGACTCACTTAACCTACTGCGCCATCCTGGTGCACCTGAACTCTTTTTTTTTTTTTAACAGTCTTATGAATCACTTATAAAAGTAGCAACAAACAAACAAACAAACAAAGAGCTTTCTGGAGACGTAATTCACATATCACACAATTCACTGACTCTAGGGATCAAGTCAATGGTTTAGTACATTTTCAGTTTGTGCAACCATCATTAAAATAGACGGTGATTAGGGGCGCCTGGGGGGCTCAGTCGGTTAAGTGTCTGACTTTGACTCAGGTCATGATCTCACCACGCTGGGCTCTGTGCCCATAGCTCAGAGCCTGAAGCCTGCTTCAGATTCTGTGTCCCCCTCTCTCTGTGCCCTTCCCCTGCTCACACTCTCGGTCTCTCAAAAATAAATACATATTTGGGGCGCCTGGGTGGCTTAGTCCGTTAAGCGTCCGACTTTCGCTTAGGTCATGATCTCGCGGTTCGTGGGTTCGAGCCCTGCACTGGGCTCTGTGCTGACTGCCAGCTCAGAGCCTGGAGACTGTTTCAGTCTGTGACTCCCTCTCTCTCTCTGACCCTCCCCTGCTCACGCTGTCTCTCTCTCTCTCTCTCTCCTAGAAATAAGTAAGAAACATTAAAAAAATAAAAATAAAAATAAATACACATTTAAATAATTTTAAAAATAGATGGTGATTAGATTGGTTAGAACATTTTTACCTCTCCTGAAAGAAACCACATGGCTCCCCTTAAAATCATTCCCCATCCCCCTCCTTTCCCAGCTCTAAGCGGCCACCAATTTATTTTCTGTCTTTATAGTTTTGCGTATTCTAGACATTTCATACAATAGGAATCATCCACATATGTATATGGTCTTTTGTGACTGGCTTCTTTCACTTTGCACGTTTTCAAAGTTTATCTGTATAGCAGCATGTATCCTTTTTATTGACAAATAATATTACATTATGAATATGCCATATTTTGTTTCGTTTCAAGTTTTTATTTAAATTCTAGTTAGTTAACATATAGTGTATATTGGTTTCAGAAGTAGAATTTAGTGACTCATTGCTGAAATATAACACCCAATGTTCATCATAACAAGTGCTCTCATTCGTGCCCATCACCCATTTAGCCCATCCCCCACCCGCCTCCCTTCCAGCAACCCTGAGTTTGTTTTCTACAGTTGAGAGTCTCTCATGGGGCACCTGGGTGGCGTGGTTGGTTAAGTGTCTGACTTCCGCTCAGGTCATGATCTCACGGTGTCATGATCTCTTGGTTCGTGAGTTCTTGCCCCCAGTCAGGCTCTGCGCTGACAGTGCGGAGCCTGCTTTGGATTCTCTGTCTCCCTCGCTCTCTGCCCCTCCCCCACTCACACACTGTCTCTCTCGAAAACAAATAAATGAACATTAACAAAGAGTCTCTTGCGGCGCCTGGGTGGTTCAGTCAGTTAAGCATCCGACTTCGGCTCAGGTCATGATCTCACGTTTCATAGGTTCGAGCCCTGCATCGGGCTCTGTGTTGACAGCCAGCTCAGAGCCTGGAGCCTGTTTCAGATTCTGTGTCTCCCTCTCTCTCTGACCCTCCCCTGTTCACGCTGTCTCTCTCAAAAATAAATACAACATTAAAAAAATTTTTTTAAGCCTCTTATGGTTTGTTGCATATGCCACATTTTTATATTTTATATTTTTGTTGATAAAATCCATTCATCAACTTATGAACATTTGAGTTGTTTCCACCTTTTGGCTATTATGAATAATGCTATGAACACCCGTGTATAAGTTTTGGTGTGGACATATGTTTTCATTTCTCTTGAATATCTGTATACATGGAAAGAGGAGCTGGGGCCATGGCAGGCAGCATGAGCAGAGGGGAGAGGAGGGGAAAGTGAACGGCTTCTCTCTCTGTATTTATACTGATCTCTGTGGAAGACACAGAGACTTGTACTCATGTTACTCTCACTGCGGCTGCTTCTGGGCCCTTCCAGCACATGCATGATCTCTTCTGCTGCCCTTGAGTTCCATGTCCCCTTCCCAGCCCTCAGTTGCTGACTCAGCTGCTCTCCCATAGTTGGTTATTTTTTATTTGGGGCTTTAGGCATGTATGGGGAGGAGAGGGTGTTCTTCCCAACCTCAGGTCCCTACTGTCTTCACATTGCTAACTCCACATGCCCTCCTCCAATAAAACTAGCTAGTTGGGTGTGGTTAAAATATATATATTTAGGGGCACCTGGGTGGCTCAGTCGGTTGAGCGTCTGACTTTGGCTCAGGTCATGATCCCATGGTTGGTGGGTTTGAGCCCCACGTCGGGCTCTGTGCTGACAGCTCAGAGCCTGGAGCCTGTTTTGGATTCTGTATCTCCCTCTCTCTCTCACCCTCCCCTGCTCACGCTGTCTCTCTCTCTCTCTCTCTCAGAAATAAAAAAAAACATTTAAAAATAATAATATATATTTATAATATATGTATGTATGTATATATATGTATATATATATAATGAAAACAGAAGGAGATACAATGAATATATATAGAAGTAGGATTGCTGGGTCAAGGGTAAGACCTTACACTCTTAGCCACTACACATTTCAGCTGGCCTTCGTCCCCACTATTATTTTGTTGTTGTTCATTTATTTTTGAGAGCGCGAGTGGGGAAGGGGCAGAGAGATATGGGGACAGAGGGTGCAAAGCAGGTTCTGTGCTAACAGCAGTGAACCAGATGTGGGGCCTGAAGTCACAAACCGTGAGATCATGACCTCAGCCAAAGTGGAACACTCAATTGACTGAGCCACCCAGGCGCCCCTCTACTATTATTAAATAACTATACTATGACACCAATATTCACTTCTACCTGTTAAGTGTCTCTGTTACAAAGCCATTTACTTTTATTATCACAAATCCTCACCTCAATCCCCTAACACAGGGGACATCATTACCGCTGTCGAACAGGTGAGAGAAACAGGCTCACAGAAGTGAGGTAATTGGTCTACACTCAGTGAACTCAAGTGGAGCTGGGAACACACCCCACATCTGCCTGTTTTCCGTGCCCTCTGTGCTTGACAGCACGTCCTGAGCCTGTCCCAAAGCTTTCAAAACATGCCTCTTCCCCTCCTTTCGGGCCGTTTCTGGAAGTTAGGCCGGCCGCAAATCCCAAGGGTGAGAACTGCACACTCCCGCCCCTGCTCTTTTCCCCAGCTGGGGCTGAAGACCGGGGAGGGGCTTCCCTGGGAGCTGGGCATAAAATGGAGGGAGGGAGGGCTGGGCTGGGCCGTGTCCTAAGGAAGGAAGGAAGCTGTGAGGGGGAGGTAAGTTTTTGTTTTGGGGGCTTTGCCGGGGCAGCTCCTGGAGAGCAGGTGACGTGGGCTTGACAGAGTTTGGCTCCGGATGGGGAGTGAGGAGAGAGGCTGAAGCAAGCGGATTAGGTAGTGCTAGCTGGGGGTTCACAGATAGGGCCGGCCTAGGGGATCCCCAAGTTGTGAGAAGGAAAGACTGGTTTTACCCGACTGGGGAGGGGGGCTCCTTGTTCCATGGCCACTCCTTAAGCCCCGTGCACTGTGTCAGGCCCTGTGTGCGCTGGGAAGCCGGAGAACCCCAAGGCGAGGCACCCACGGATCGGTGAGGCTAAGGCAGAAACAGACCATGACGCACAGCTGGCTAGGAAGTAGGCAGGGCAAGGTGAAGAGGGCACGTGTGAGCCATCTAAAAAGGCTTTCCCAAGTGTGGAAAACAGTGAAGTGGGGGCTTCAAGGCTGCATACGTTTAGCCCTGGGCCAGAGGAGTTTGTCGCAGGTGGAGGGAGCTGTGTGTGCAGAGGGTTGGAGCTTGCGAGAGCTCAAGCAGAGAGATTTAGGAGAGAAAGCGACAGGTGAGCCCGGGGCTGTCAGCAGGATCTCTTCTGTTCAGTATGGTCCAGTAGCTGAAAGCCACAGTGGCTATTTCAGTTTAAATTAGTTAACATTAAAAAATAATAATAAATAAACAAATTAGTTAACATTAACTAAAGTTAAAAAGTCCAGCTATTTCCAGTGCTCAACAGCTATGTGAAGCTCGCAGCTCTGGGACTGGGGAGAACGTTATCTATCATCCATTGGCACAGAAAATCCCTTTGGCCGGTGGAAAGCCTCATGAGGGGTTCAGTCTGTTCAGGGACACACGAAAGAGAGAGGGGGCTGAAAGCGGGCTGCCTGGGCTGTGGGAGCCTAGCCTGCGAGGTCTCTGGACTGTAGGTGAGGGAACAATCCCCAGAAGACAGAGGTGGCGTGACTCACCTCCTGCCAGCGCAGAGTGGACTGTGCCCCCAGGGACAGGAACTAACCAGGCAGGGCGTCTTCGGCCCCAGCTGGGCATCCCTGATCAGTGCGACCAGAGCCAGGGTCAGAGAAACATGGAGTGAGTAGTCCTGGGGAGGAAGGGGCAGCTGCCGAGTGGGTTGAGCCTGGGTTCAGAGGGGCTCTCAGTTGGCATGCGTGCGATTGGACAGGGGGGCTGGGAAGGCATGTGTGAGTCGAGAGGAGAGACCAGGGTGGAGGTTCACTGGCTGGGGGTGGGGCTGCACTGTGTTGAATGGTCAGTGAGAGCGAGCCTTCTGTTCCTACCCTAACTAGCTTTTCTATTTCCTTCCCAGGTCCAACACTATCCAGGTGACAAGGATGGAATACGCCATGAAGTCCCTGAGCCTTCTCTACCCCAAGTCCTTCTCCAGGTGAGGAGAGCCAAGCGTAGAAACAAAGGGGAGCTACGTGTGAGCTGTAAGACAGACCTCAGACTTCAACAAGCTCCTAAGTCACCAGGGCATCTTGTTAAAATGGAGATGTTGATTTAGGAGGTCTAAAGTAGGTCCCAGATTTTGCCCTTTTGACACACCCTCAGGTGACTTTAAAGTTGCTATCCTCTCCCCACACTGCCGCCATGTATTGAGTAGAAAAAGGTAGACACTGTGTTTGGGGCTTCATTCTTGATCTCACTTAAACCTCACTGCAATTTTGGGAAGTGGGGATTATTATACCAAATTAATAGATGGGGACATTGAGGCACAGCATGGATGCTCTTCATCACCTAACAAATGGGTAGTAGAGCCAGGATTCAAACTTGGGTCTGACTCCAAACCCAGGTTTCCCCTCTACTTCTGGTTCTACATTGTGTATATCAGAATTCAAAACTACCTTACATTGACCTCAGCTTTTCCACTTCATTTCACCTTACGCGTGGGAAGACAGAGGCCAAGAAAGGACAGTGGTCCTGGGGGAGTGTGGGATGGGACTTCTATCACCTTGCTACTCATCATGGTCAGTGTCAACCAACAGCGTTAATGTCACTTTGAAACGTATTAGACATGTAGACTCCCAGCTTCCACCCAGACCTCCTGAATCCGAATCAGGTCTCCAAAGGACTTGCTAAGGTCACTGAAGTCTGAGGTGCATTGATCTAACAGGACTTTGAGTGAGGCCACTAAGACTTAGAGCAAGCGTGGTGGGTGACAGAGGAAGAGGAATACGATGAGCTCAACCTACATGTAGGGGTAGGGGAGTTAGTTCCCGGAGTGGGGTGAGGGCTGGGAGGCAGCAGGCTGCTCATTCTGACACTCCAAATTGCCCCCCAGGCATGTGGCAGTGAGTACGTGCACCTCAATGGTGACCCAGCAGCTAGTGACCGAGTCCAGCCTGGAGACCTCCAAGGCGCGGCCCTGCAGAATTAGCACCGCTGACCGGAGTGTGCGGAAGGGCATCATGGCGCACAGTCTCAAGGACCTCCTGCGCAAGGTGAGGGACGGGACGATGCTCAGCACAGCGCAACCGCTGGGCCTGTGGCTGAGAGCTGGCCCTGCTGGCTGCCTCTGTCCTCCGGGTCATGAGCTGGGAGTTCGGCTGCGATGGAGTTCCTGGGTTAGATGGTGGAAAAATTTCCTTTCTGACGCCAGCTCTCATGAGTTAGTAATGCCTACCTGCACTGCTGTCCCATGGATTAATGGTATCTGTCTGGTGACAGGGGGAGGACACTATATTGTAGTATAATACCTACAGGATTGCCGTCCTATATCTACAACAGTAAATCACTGGTACCTTCAGAGCATATTTTTCTTTTATTATTTTTCTTAATGTTTGTTTATTTTTTGAGATATAGAGCAGACTGGGAAGGGGGAGAGAGAAGGAGAGAGAAACCTCAAGTAGCTCCATGCTGTCAGTGCAGAGCCCAGCATGGGGCTCGAACTCCCCAACTGTCACGACCTGAGCCAAAACCAAGAGTCAGACTTTTAACTGACTGAGCCATCCAGGTGCCCCTGGGGCATTTTTTTTCTTACTGGAAACACCCTTAGGTTCTTTTTCCCCTTGTACACATGCCTGGAAGTTGGGGAAATAGGTAAGCCTGACTTTCAGCCAGGGCAGTTCTTCAATCCATCTCCTCCCCTGGCTTTCCATGGCAGGCTTTGTTAATAGCTGTGGAAGACTTTCTTTACACTATTGATCAGGTAAGCTTCCAGAGCAGGAAACAAAAGACACACAGGTCTTGTGGATGGTAATAACAGCTGCCAAGAATGAGACCCTTCCCCGTTTCCATGTTCCCTCTCTACCAGACTGGGGGTAACTTCCCCCCAGCCTCTCCTACAGCCTCATCTAATCTGGCTCCATATTAATCTTATGCCTCACTTCCCCATTAGCTTATGCACTCCAGGGGATGACCCAGTTGCCTGGCACAAATCACACATTTGATTAGGCTTCTCATTACTACAGTCTGTTTAACATATAGAAATCATAGCTGACTGGGGCGCCTGGGTGGCTTAGTCGGTTAAGCGTCCGACTTTCGCTTGGGTCATGATCTCGCGGTTCGTGGGTTCGAGCCCCGCGTCGGGCTCTGTGCTGACTGCCAGCTCAGAGCCTGGAGCCCGTTTCAGAGTCTGTGACTGCCTCTCTCTCTGACCCTCCCCTGCTCATGCTGTCTCTCTCTCTCCCAGAAATAAATAAAACATTAAAAAAATTAAAAAATAAAAAAGAAATCATAGCTGACTTAAGCCTCTATTCCAGAGTCCCTCCCCTATTTGCTGTCTGCTTTTCTTCATGGGAGCCAATCTCCCCTCTCTTGTGAGGTGTGTGGCTGTGACACACCAATTTTTTATGCCCTGAATCGAAAGGACTGTTTCACACTTGAGTCTAGACTTGGTAGTGTTTTTTCACCTGAGGTCTGGGGACCACTTCCTGTACCAAAATGGACTTGGTCACACATAGCTTCCCAAATGCACACTCTGGGACTGATTAGGTCACAAGTGAGGCTCAGAAACTGTCATTTTAAGCAGTTGCTTCAGGAGATTCTTAGAGCCACTGAGTTTAGGGACCCCAAGTCAGAGTCCTAACTCCAAGAGATGCAGGGAGAAGCAAGAGCGAGAACACAGGTCAGAAGTGAATCTTACCGATGGAGCTGGGAGGACATCAGCCTATCTGGACTGCTTTTCCAAGTATCGCAATATAAAGAAAGGAGCAGAGAGTGAGAGCAAGAGGGTTAGGTGATATGGTTGGCAGTGACCAGAGTATAGTCCCTAATTGGCCATGGCAAAGAACAGAGGGATTTCATTTTAAAAGATAACAATAAGTCTATGGAGGATTTTAAATTTATTATTATTTTTTTAATGTTTATTTTTGAGAGAGAGAGACAGAGACAGAGAGAGACAGAGGGGGGCAGATAAAGATGGGGACAGAGCATACAAAGAGGGCTTGGTGCTGACAGCAGAGAGCCAGATTCGGGGCTCGAACTCAACGAACTGTGAGATCATGACTGGAGCCGAAATCAAGAGTCAGACGCTCAATCAACTGAGCCACCTAGGTGCCCCTCAAAATTAATTTTTAAAAAATTCTCCAAAGAGCTCAGTTGGTTGAGCGTTTGATTTTGTCTCAGGTCATGACCTCCTGGAAGACTTAATGCTGTTAAGATGGCAATATTTCCCAAATTGATCTGCAGATTCAATGCAATCCCCATCAACATTCCAGCCACTCTTTTTGTGGACACTGACAAGCTTATCCTAAAATGTATACAGAAATACAATGGAGTCAAAATAGCTAAAAGAACCTTGGAAAAAGACAAAATTGGAAGACTCACACTTCCTGATTCCGAAACTTACTACAAAGCTACAGTAATCAACTCTGTGGTATCGACATAAGGATAGATACTCTATTAGTTTTCTAGGGCTTCCATATTAAAGTACCACAGACTGATACTTAAACAGCAGAAATTTATTTTCTCTTAAACCTGGAGGCTGGAAGTCTGAGATCAAGGTGCTGTCAGGGTTGGTTTATTCTGAGGCCTCTGTTCTTGACTTATAGATGGCTGTCTTCATGTTTACATGGTCTTCCCTCAGGGATATGTCTCTTTAGCCTAATCTCCCCTTCTTATAAGAATACCAGTATTGGGGGTACCTGGGTGGCTCAGTTGGTTGAGCGTCCAACTTTGGCTCAGGTCAGATCTCATGGTTAGTGGGTTTGGGCCCTGCATCGGGCTCTGTGCTGACAGCTAGCTCAGAGCCTGGAGCCTGTTTCAGATTCTGTGTTTCCCTCTCTCTCCGCCCCTCTCCCACTCATGCTCTGTTTCTCTCTCCCTCTCTCTCAAAAATGAATAAACTATTAAAAAAAAGAATACCAGTATTGGATTAGGGCCCATCTTAATGACACCATTTTAATTACCTCTTTAAAGACTGTATCTACAAAGATAGCCTGAGGTACTGGGACTTAGGATTTCAATATGTGAATCTGGGAGGTACACAATTCAGCCCATAATACATGCAAACTGGGAGAATGGAATTGAAACTCCAGAAATAAGCTCATGTATCTCTGGTCAATTGATTTTTGACAGGAGAAAGAAAGTCTTCTCAAGTGGTGCTGGGACAATGGAATATCCAATGCAAAATAATGAAGGTGCATCCTTACCTCACAGCATGAACAAAATTGAGTGAAAATGTATCAAAGAGCTCAAACTATAAAACTCTTAGAAATAAACATAGGTGTAAGCCTTCATGACTTTGGTTTCTTAGATAAGGCATCAAAGCACAAGCAATCAGAGGGAAAAAATTAATCTTCATCAACATTAAACACTTCTGTGTATCAATATACATTATTAGCAAAATTAAAAGACAACCTGCAAATGGGAGAAAGTATTTGCAAATCTCATATATGATAAGGATCTAATATCAAGAATGCATAAAGAACTTCTATAACTCAACAATAAAAAGACAACCCAATTAGAAACAGCGCAAAGAAATGGAATAGACTTTCTCTAAAGAAAATCCATAAATGGGGCGCCTGGGTGGCTCAGGCAGTTACACATCCGGCTCTTGATCTCAGCTCAGGTCATGACTCACAGTTTGTGAGTTACAGCCCTGTGTCAGGCTCTGCGCTGATGGCACAGAACCTGCTTGGGATCCTCTCTCTCTACCTCTCCTCTCTCTCTCCCAAAAATAAATAAACATTAAAAAATTAATATATATATATATATATATAAATGGCTAATAACATGAAAAGATTTTCAACAGCATTAGTCATTAGGGAAATTCAAATAAAAACTGCTTCATACCCACTAGAATGGCTAAAATACAGGACAGACACTCCCTCTCTCTCTCTGCCCCCCCCCAAAAAATAAACATTAAAAAAGTAAAATATATTATAGGACAGACAATAACAAGCATCAATAAAGACGTGAAGACCCTGGAATCTTCACACATTGCCAGTGGGAATATAAAATGATACAGCTGCTTTGGAAGACAGTTTTGTAGCTCCTCAAAAAGTTAAACATATAGTTAATTGTGTGACTCAGCATTTTCAGTCCTAGCTATATACCCAGGAAAACTGAAAACATGTTCACTCACCAAACTTGTACATGAATACTATAACAGCAGTATTCATAATACTCAAAAAATGGAAATAACCCAAATGTGTTTATTAACTGATGGATGGATTAAAAAGGTGATATATCTATACAGTAGAATATTATTTGGCCAGAAAAAGAAATAAATCATGCTACAACATAGATGAACCTTGGAAACATACTGAGGGAAAGAAGCTAGTCTAAGAAGACCACATATTATATGATTCCATTTATATGAAATGTCCAGAAAAGGCAAATCTATAGAGACAGACAGTAGAGGTTGTCATGGGTTGGGGGATGAGGAATGACTGCTAATGGGTACTGGGTTTCTTCTGGGGTGATGAAAATGTTCTAAAATGAGATAGTAGTGATGATTGTATAACTTTGTGAATATTCTAAAGCACACTGAATTGTATACTTTACATCTTTTTTTTTTTTTAGAAGTTTATTCATTTATTATTTTGAGAGAGAGAGAGGGAGCAGGGGAGGGACAGAGAGACAGGGAAAGAGATTCCCAAGCAGGCTCCACACCATCAACACAGAGCCTGATGTGGGGATTGAAGCCACAAACCACAAGATCATGACCCCTACTGAAACCAAGAGTCTGACGCTTAGCCGACTGAGCCACCCAGGCTCAGATTGTAAAGTATACAATCATTAATTGTATACTTTAAAGGTGAATTTGGGGGCACCTGAACGGCTCAATCAGATAAGTGTCTGACTTTGGGTCAGGTCATGATCTTGCAGTTCATGGGTCAAGTCCCACATCGGGCTCTGTGCTCACAGGTCAGAGCCTGGAGCCTACTTCGGATTCTGCGTCTCCCTCACTGTCTGCCCCTCCTTGGCTCACTTTCTGTTTCTCTCTCTCTCTCTCTCTCTCTCTTAAATGTAAATATTTAAAAAAATTTTTAAGGGTGAATGTTATGACATGTGAATTATACCTTACATATGTGATTCCCATTATATTTTTATTGGACAACACTGTTCTAGAACATAACCATGAAGCCAGGTACCAAAAAGGACCATAATATAGAATCTTTGGATCATGATCCCACAGTAAGAGCCTAGGATCCAGGCCTTCTTCCCTAGATCCTTATCCACTTGCTCTTTCCCTGGTAGCTGAGATGATGTAATATGGGTTTTCCTCATGCTCTGTGGCTGCATGGGGATGGCAGAAACATCACTGATTTAAAAAAATTTTTTTATTTATCTTATTTTTTAATGTTTTATTTATTTCTAAGAGAGAGAGAGAGAGAGACAGTGTGAGCAGGGGAGGGTCAGAGAGAGAGGGAGACACAGAATCCAAAACAGACTCCAGGCTCTGAGCTGGCTGTCAGCACAGAGCCCGACACGGGGCTTGAACCCATGAACCGAGAGATCATGACCTGAGCCAAAGTCAGACGCTTAACCGACTGAGCCACCCAGGCGCCCTGAAACATCACTGATCTTATTCTCCAGGTCCGGGACACCCTGATGCTGGCAGACAAGCCCTTCTTCCTGGTACTGGAGGAAGATGGTACGATTGTAGACACAGAAGAGTATTTCCAAACGCTGGCGGATGACACGGTGTTCATGGTCCTCCAGAAGGGGCAGAAATGGCAGCCCCCATCAGAGAAGGTGAGGTCCCGCCTGTGTGGTAGGGAGAACATGAGGAGTCTGGGAGAAGTCCTCTTGTTAGGGGTGGGGGGTGGGTTGCCAACCATAGGCTTCTCTTGTTACAGAGTACTAGGTACCAACTCTCCCTCTCCCATAAGCCCGCGAAGAAGATTGATGTGGCCCGTGTGACCTTTGACCTATACAAGATGAACCCACAGGACTTCATTGGTTGCCTGAATGTGAAGGCCACTCTGTACGGCACATACTCCCTTTCCTATGACCTGCACTGCTACCGGGCCAAGCGCATCATGAAGTGAGTGAACTGGGGTTAGCTGGGGATGGGGTGGGTATTCGGCGACGAGAGAGCCCCTCTCTGAGGTCACGTGGACCTCAGCTTTCTAGGGCCTGAGACTAGCGTTGATGCTGACAAAGCATGGCAGCATTTGACTAGAACTTTATGGCTGAACTAGTGCTTTAGCAGAGGCCCAAGGGGTACACGTATCTCCTCCAGGTGGAACTGGGATACTTTACTTTTCTAATTCCCTTCCACCATCACGACTTATTTTTTCACCTAACGTAGTAAGTTTTCCTAAGTAGTCTTCTAATTGATTTTTAAAAAATGAACATGTGTCAAAGATTTTATCGAACCCATTAATTAAGGAGAGAACCAGCAAGAAGTTACAATCGGTTCAAAGGAGAATTTGAAATCCCACCAACGTACACAGGTCCATCAAGAGATAAATTCACAGATACAAAACTGGATTCTTCCATGGGGGTGGTAAGGGATGAAATGACTGTTCTTCCACAGATGGAATTAACTTGCAAGTCGGTGGACAATAATCACGTGTATTGTTGAATGCACTTCTTTCAAACGTTTTACTTTACTTTGGAAATCTAATCCAGTAATGCAGGAAGCATGAGAATATGTTAAATCATAAGACAAGTACTGTTTGGGTGACGTTTCCCAATTTCAGCTGTGCTGCTGGTGCGCCGATGAATTCTTACCCTATCAGGAGGATGCAGTCACCGACGCACACGCATCCAAAGCCACAAAGCTAGGGAGTAGCAGAGCACGGCTTCTTGCCCGTTTCTTCTGAGAGATTCTACTCCTCCCCAGTTGCTTCATTTAGCATCTACTGAGCACCCACCGCATGCCTGGCCCTATGATGTAAGCCTAAGATCCAGAGATAAACAAGGCATCAGAACAAGCTCTACAATGGGAAAAATTTCTGCTGCCCCCAGGACCTTGATGAATGCTGGCACAGAGCAGTAATTCGAATGAATGAAAGCGCATAAGATCCTTGTTCTTAGAGGCCTTCCGAGAAATCCGGCTCAGGGTCCCCAGAGCTAGAGCGCACCAGATCTTCTTGGCTTTCGGGGTTTATTCTGTGCACTTCCACTCTGAGGGAATTGAGGTCTTGCCCGAGATGACATTCAGTGACAGGCTTGAGCCTCGGTCTCTGGCCAGAAATCCCATATTCCTCTGGTAGCATATCATGCCCCATCTGGATCTGGGCTTGCTGCAGGTAGTTTGTAGGTTTCAAAGTCTGGAGCAGAAACTTCAGCTGTTAACCTCAGTGCGTTTAGGGCAGGTAAGACTCTCAGAGCTAAACCCAGCAGATTTGTTAGTATCAAAAAAACAACGCTGGAGTAGGTGTGGTGACTTAGTGGTGTCAGCTTTTTATTATTTTTAATAATAGTTTTACATTTATTTTATTATTTTTAATAAGTTTTATTATTGCTGTTGTTGCTGTTTTTAAAATATACATAACATAAAATTGACCATTTTAACTGGTTAAAAGTGTACAATTCAGTGGCATTCAGTACATTCCCAATGTTGAGCAATGTTGTGCAGTTACCACTATGAATTCCCAGAACTTTTCATCATCCCAAATTGAGACTCTGTCCCCATTTAAACAACAACTCTCCACTCCCCCTTTCCCCAGCCCCTGGTAACCTGTGTTCTACTTTCTATCTCTGTTAAGTTGCCTATTCTAGAGATCTTACACTATGCTTGTCCTTTGTGACTGGTTTCTTTCACTGAGCGTACTGTTTTCAAGGTCCATCCACGTCGTAGCCTGGGTCAGAATGTCCTTCCTATTTATGGCTGGACAGCTGGTTTTAAGCCTTAGTTCTCTGATTTGAGAAATGGGTAGACGTCTCAGGTATAGCCTTTATCATTTTATTTTATTTTATTTTATTTTATTTTTTAATGTTTTTTTATTTATTCCTAGGAGAGAGAGAGAGACAGCGTGAGCAGGGGAGGGTCAGATAGAGAGGGAGTGACAGACTCCGAAACAGGCTCCAGGCTCTGAGCTGGCAGTCAGCACAGAGCCCGACGCGGGGCTCGAACCCACGAACCGCGAGATCATGACCTAAGTGAAAGTCGGACGCTTAACCAACTAAGCCACCCAGGCGCCCCTAGCCTTTATCATTTTAAAGAATTTTCATGTGTAGATGTTTATAGTTGTAATTATCTTTGTCTCCCTATGCCTCAACCATAAGTTCATTTATTGAATGAAGGTTATTAGTTTGAAAGTTTTAATACCAGCCAGAAAGTTTATTTCCCTTTTGTTTTCCCCTCCTTGATCTCCCCTACGACCAGACACCCCTAGTGACCCTCCCTCATCTATCTCTTTTAAAGAGATTTGGATAAGCACTTGGTTAAAGTCATTAAGCACTCCACCAGTGACTCTTGACCCCACGTTTTGCCCTATTCATCTACTTATTAGGCTCCAAGTTAAGTGACTTACGTTATTTCAACCTCAGAACGCTGTGAGGGATCAAAATGGTCTGGTCTTATTTTATGGTTAGGAAAGCAGAAGCTCAAAACTCTAGCAGTTTGCCAACCTTCACACGGCTAAGACTGGATTAGAACTCTGGCCTATTTGACTCAAGCACTGATCTCATTACACTGCAATACCAAGCATGGAGATCTCTGTGTCCAGCGTTCTGAAAATTAGCTAAACTACACATGACTTGGAAAGGCCTCAGAGTCTAGAACAGAGGCCATGAAGGACAGAGCCATGGGATGGAGGCTAATCTGGCTGGCCCAAAGTAGTATTACGAAAATTAAAGGTCTTATTAAATGAGTGTGAATTTTGCATGAGACAGTAGGGAGGTGATGGACATCTCAGTGAAGGCATGACTGGAGGTGATGTCTGTAGACCCTTTCCCCCTTGCTAAGGGAAGGCAGCTTCTTCCCCCGTTCACACACCGCTCTACAATTTGTGAAATTATGGAGGGGAAGACATTTAGAGGCTGTAGGCAGGGGTTTTCTTTGTGTTTTGACTCCAGTGCCTTTTTCTTCCACCCAGGGAAGTTCTTCGTTGGGCCCTCTTCAGCATGCAGGCCACAGGCCATGTGCTGCTTGGCACCTCGTGTTATATGCAACAGTTCTTGGATGCCACAGAGGGAGGGCAGTCCCCTGAGGGCAAGGCCCCATCGCTTATCCCGTCCTGTCTGAAGATGCTGCAGTGAAGGCCCTAGTCCTTGGAGGCATTCCTCAGCGACGGACTAGACGGGGCCCCATGCTCAGCTAGTAGCACCTACCAGCCCGGCAGCTGGGCAGCTTCTTACCTTGCCACGCCTTCCTCACCCTCCCAGGACTACAAAGGAAGAAGCCCTCCCAAGGGAAAAGGCCAGAAATCTGGGGTGGTCCGGGCAAAGGAGAACTGAGGGTTCCGGGCCTGCCCAGCGACTTCCTGTTCAGCGCAGGTTAGCCGATCAAGACGGGTCACCGGCAGGCTAGGCATGAGGTCTGCCCCTCAGCTACCGCTCTTCACATGCTCTACTTTCATGTCGCTCCCCACCTCCTGACCCCTCGGCCCTAACACTCCGGAGTGAACGGTCAAGTCCACTAGTGTATATTTCCTAGAGAGTTTGCATTAAATTATTTATGCTATACATACATCTTTGTCTGTGTTCTTCGGGGGTGACGGTGGGGTTCTGCCTGGAAGGTTGGAAAGGTCTAAGGGAGGAGGGGAATCTACTGCCAAACCATTCTCCAAATGTGGGGTTATAGGAAACTGGGCTTTTTCTGCCAAAAAAAGAATCGCCGTTGATTCTGGAACTGTCTGCTTCACCAGACACTTGAACAGACTATGTGATCAATAGGATAAAGGACAATTTCCAAAATAAATCTGCCTATCAGAAGGGCTTTGAGCGGCAGGGTAGGACTAAGCACTCTTAATTTCTCAGTAGTACGGTTTATTACAACCTTCTCAGTGTTTAGGGGGGAAAGCACTAATCAGGCTGTAACACAACCCTCCATCCGTGCTCTCCGTAGCTTGCCAGGTAGTTTCTCTTTCATGTTCAGTACTATCAACTTCAGGATTTCAAAATAAGCTGTTTTGCAGCCGGAAAGAATATTAGTTTCTCATCAGTGCGAGCTGGCATTTTCCCACTTAGAGCAACTCCAACAACCTAAGTGTGAAAGGCTAAGTTTGTAGGTGACTATGCGTTAGTCTGGGACTCTCAGGTTCAAAACCGTGTCATGTCTGACCCTGAATATAAAGCCTGTATGGGTTTATTTATGCACAGCCTCTGTTACCAAAGTGGGAGTGGGGAGCGATGTTGCTGGCAGCTGCTCCAAACCTGCAGCCGCGTGTAGGAGGAGCTGCAGCGCTAACAGGAAGATACCTTCTATTCTGGGCTGTCCTGCTCTTGGATCGATGGCTACAGGCCTGGCTCAGTGCGGGCCTGGCTCTGCGGGGTAGGCCCTTCCATGCGGAGGCACCGTGTTCACACTCGCACAGAGGTCGTTCCTGGTCAACACGTGCAGAGGCTACGACCAACCTGTCCCTCTTTTTTTCGTTTTTGTTTTTAACATTTATGTATTTAAGGAAAATTTATTTTTGAGAGAGAGGGAGAGAGAGAGAGAGCAGAAGGGACAGAGAGAGAAGGAGACACAGAGTCCGAAGCAGGCTCCAGGCTCTGAGCTGTCAGCACAGAGCCCGACGCGGGGCTCAAGCTCACAAACCATAAGACGATGACCTGAGCCGGAGTCGGATGCTTAACCGACTGGGCCGCCCAGGCGCCCCCCCCCCCCCCCCCCCCCCCCCCCCCCCCCCCCCCCCCCCCGCCTATGTAATTTTTAAGTAAACGCTACACCTAATGCCCAGTGTGGAGCTTGAACTCACAGCCTCGATTTCAAGAGCTGCAATGCTCTACCTACTGAGCCAGCCGGGTGTCCTTTTTGTTTTTTACATTTATTTTTTAAAGTAAGCTACCTGTCCCCCTTGTGAAGTTAGTCATAAGCCAAGTTGGGCTAAAGGTGGCAGAAGTTTGGAATGTACCAATGTCTCCTCCTCCTGAGATTCAGAGTTTCCAAAGTAAGTCTTGAGCGACTCACCGCAGTCTCTTGGCATTGAGCCCTCTTCAGTTCAGGGAAAATTAGGTCCTTCCTTTCCCTCCAGCTGTGGGCAGTGACCAGGAGAGGGCGGCCTTTCCGGAGGCTAGGGTTTATGAAAGAAAACTTCCAGAGAGCACGGGGCCTCGGGAGAGCCAGAGGCCAGTCCAAGTGGGGGAACGAATGGCCCGTCCCGTGGCCAAGCGCCGTCAGTGGGGAAGAGGCTTGCTGCGATTAGGCACACTGTGCTCCAGCCCCCGGGCACTTTTGCTTAAGCTGGTACTTATGATGAGAGCACAGGAGACTTTAAAATCCTGTGGGGCCTAATGACAAAGCACAGTGCCGTCTGAGCCCAAAACAAGATAAAAACCACTTGCACTCTTGCCCAATGTCTTACCAGTTCTGTCTCTATTTGTGTACATCTAGTCACAAATTGATTATTTAAGTCTTTGAATTAAGAAGATAAGTTTCTTGAGGTATAATTTACATGAAATGAGTTTTTCCCTTTTAAGGGATACACAATTAAGTTTGGGCCTTTTTTTTTTCTTTTTTAGTTTTGGCAAATTTGTACTGTTATGTAACCACCATTTCTAGCATGCCAAAAAGTTCCCTTATGCTCTTTCTACTCCCCATCCTCGACCCAGCCAAGCCCCTGGCAACCCCTGACTCTTTCCTGCCAATATAGTTTGGCTCCTTTTCTAAAATGTCACGTAAGTAGAATCATATAGCCTTTCAAAAATTTTTATTTCTGTTTTTTTTTTTTTTTTTTTTTTTTTTTTTTAAGTAGGCTTCCCACCCACCCTGGAGCCCAGCACGGGGCCTGAACTCACAACACTGAGATCAAGACCTGAGCTGACTCTGTGTCTCCCTCTCCCTCTCTCTCTGACCCTCTCCAGCTCACGCTGCCTCTCTCTGTGTCTCAGAAAAAAAAAAAAAAAAAAAAAAAGGACCTGAGCTGAGCTCAAGAATCAGATACTTAACCGACTGAGCCACCCAGGCACTGCCCCATCTACTTACTTTTATTTAAAATTATTTTGGGGGGGTGCACCTCATACAGTCTTTCAAACCTGGCTTAGATTTTTAAACCAGCAAAACATATAAGATTAAAAAAAAAACAACACACGATTCCAAAGGGTAAAAATCATTCATCTTCTCACCTCTGATTCCTTCTCTAGAAGCAAACAGCACCTCGTTTTTGGGCGTCCTTTCAAAAATGTAAAGGCATAAGATGCAACACATACATATGAATCACACACACATATGCATAGTCTAGTCACACTGCCCTTCCTTTTCCTTTCTTGCTTTAATATATTTTGGAGACTGATTCACATAATCACATACAGACATACACATTCCTTAATCAATGGCTGCATGGTAAGGATATGCTACAACTGACTTAGCCACTCCTCTGCTGACTTTCAGTCTTTTCCTGAACCGTGAATTGAAAGTATAGTTTTCTTTCTTGGGGCGCCTGGGTGGCTCAGTCGTTAAGGGTCCGACATCGGCTCAGGTCATGATCTCACAGTTCGTGGGTTCCATCCCCGCGTCGGGCTCTGTGCTGACAGCTCAGACTCTGGAGCCTGTTTCGGATTCTGTGACTCCCTCCCTCTCTGACCCTCCCCTGCTCACGCTGTCTCTCTCTCTCTCTCTCTCTCTCAGAAATAAATAAAACCTAAAAAAAAAAAAAAACAACATGTAAAAAATGTGTTTAAAATAATGTTGAATCGGTGTTGTATTAGATTTATGTCCCCTACGGAGCTAATCATAGGACAATTTATGATATTTGTTTTGATTTTGTTTTGATACATCATGCTGTAGTGAATCTCATTTTCCCTCTGGCCCTTTGCTCCTTTCGGATTGATTATGCACCAGGCTGTTCTTCTGGACCGAAGGGGGCTGTTTTTTTTTTTTTTTTTTTCTTTTTCCTCACTTTGCCTTACAAAACTGGGCACAACGGTGTTTTGTTTTAAGATTTTATTTTTAACTAATCTCCACACCCAAGGTGGGCATCAAAAATCGCAAGCCCTACCTACTGGGCCAGCCAGGGGTCCCACAAAGGGGTTTTTTGAAGTCAGAGGCTCCTGTGAATTGGAATAGTAATCAGAGTACCTTAACCTTTCGTTCCTGTTTTGTCCTAAGACAAGTCCTCTGATTCTGAGTAAAGTCCTTAGCTGCTCTGTGCCTCAGTTTCCTCAAAAGCATAGACGCGAAGTAAAGCTTTTCCTGCCTGGGGGAAGGCAAAGCCCCGCCTTCCCACGCCCCTGAGCCCGCCTCCTCGCTATTCCGATTGATAGGCAGTCTGACCAATCAGTGCGCTGTGGAAGAGCGGGCCGGCCCTTCTCGGCACATGCGCACTGTCCCCGCTCGGGAGATGGGTGGCTGGCGTGTTCTGGGCCAGGTCTGGGGTGCCTGGCGGCGGGGACCAGGGGTGCGTGCAGTGCCCAGTGCCTCAGGCTTTGGCACCGAAGCCGGGTGATTACCCTCCTCCCGCCCCTTCGTGTGGGTGGGACGGTGGGGCCGGGGCAAAGGGTGTGTGGTACCTGGACTTAGGTAGGCATGGGTTCTAATCCCGCCACTACTGTGTGTGACAGATCCTAAACGACTCACTTGGTTTCTCTGAGTTACAATCCCCTTCTCTGTAAAATGGGGCCGGTTGTGCCTGAGCGGAAAGCTCACCCCAGGCATTTTGAGGCATTTGTGGGAGGTGGCAGGATATAAGGTGTGCAGAGGTAAGAGTGGACACCCCTCAGGAAACGAGTGATCGCTCCTCCTACGAACTCTCCCTTTTTCAGACATCAGCTGCGACCTCGAGGCTCCCGCAACCGATCGAGGCCCCGGGGGGACCAGCCATTCCCGGGGCTGCTGCAGCTGGAGAACCTCGGTCGGAAGGAGCTGGTTGATGTGCTGAGGGCAGCCGTAGTGGACCAGAAAGGTGAGGGGTGGGAGGGACAGCTGCGCACAGACGCTGGACGGGAGCCTGCGGCTCAGAGCCTTCTGGGGGCCGGCTGGGCTCCCTGCTAAAGCCTTTGGGATCATATCCTGGTTCTGCCTGCCCCTAGTGGCATGACCCGGAGCAGGCCACATGATGTGTCTGAGCCTCAGCACCTTAGGGATGGGGGTGAGAGGGTGCAAATAACTAGAGAGCCTTCAACAGAGTAGGCACTTGGTAACAGGAGTTGCTACAATAAATTGTTTATTGATGGACCAAACACAGGCTGTGGAGTCAGATCTAGGCCCTGTAATCAGCTTACTGGGTGGCTGTAGGAAAATAGTTTCTCTGAGCCTCAGTCTCCAGTGATTTATTAATTCTCTCAATTGTTTATTCAGTAGAGGCTATGTTCCAGGCACTGTTCTAGGCACAGGTATACAGTGCTGAACAAGGTAAGTATGGTTCCTGCACTCAGGGAGCTAATATTTTAGTGGCATAAATGGATTGATCAGGAAATAAATGAACAAGGTACTTACTCGTGATCAGTGCTGTGAATAAAACAGGGTGTTATGAGCATGGGGGCAGACATTAGATTGGGGATTCAGGCCTCTCTGGGGTGGTGACATTTGAGCTGAGATGAAATGAGTCAGCCATGTGAAAATCTGAGACTGAGGAAACAGCACGTGTAAAAGCCTAAGGTGGCAACAAGCTTAGCGTATGCAAAGGGCAGAAAGAAGTTCAGTTTAGGGTGTGGTGATAACTCGGGTCTGAGAGTTGTAGTGGGGTCACAGATAAGATGAATTGAGAAAGTACTTTACAAACTCTAACCGCTGCTTTTGTGTTGCTGATGCTCATGCAATATATGTTTTAGGACCTCTAGTGACGTTGAATAAGCCACTGGGTCTACCAGTGACAGGTATGGGCAGGGGAAGGGGATGGAATGGAAGAGGGTTTGATGGTTCTGAGGGAGGGGCTATTGAAGAGAAGGGGTTGGTGGGCTGAAGTCAAAGGTTTCTGAGAGCAACTCGTACTTTTCTTTCTCCACCACGCCCCCAGGAAAACCAGGGGAGTTGACATTGGTCTCAGTGCTGCCAGAGCTGAGCCAGTCCCTGGGGCTTAGGGATCAGGAGCTCCAGGTTGTCCAAGCATCCGGGAAGTAAGTGGTGGTGGTTGGGGGGGGTGGGGGTGGGGTGATATAGGAAGGTCAGAGGACAGGCATCCATCTCGGGTGAGGGAACAATTGCTTGGGAATAGGTTGAGACGTTGGCCACAGGCTGGTTTGGGAGCACAGAGGAAGGATGCAAGAAACGGGAGGGAGTGGACAGATCTGGGTTCAAATTCGTATGCACAAACTGTGATCACAGGCGAAGCATGAACCCTCACTGAGCCTCAGTTCCCTTAATAAGAAAATAGAGCTAATCACACCTATGCTCAGTGTGCAGTCACTTCTCCAGTCCTGTAATCATGGCAGCCATTGCTCCTTGACCCATGATATTCTTTCCTCTAACTGCCATCAGTTGGAGTTGGTACTTGGCGATGAAATATTTCTGAAATTCTACAAACTCAGAGGCTTGTGGAGAGTTTAATTATTTACGAGCTAATAACATGCAGAATTCCTACTATAGTCCCTGGCACATTGTAGATACATTCAGCAACTGGCTGTAATTGTTACAACATCTGGCTCTGAGCTCCTTGCGGACCAGGGCAAAATGAGCAGCACATTAAATGATCAGACGCGAGGGGGCACCTCGGGGGCTCAGTCGGTTCAGCGTCCGACTTCGGCTCAGGTCATGATCTCACAGTTCGTGGGTTCGAGCCCCGGGTCGGGCTCTGTGCTGACAGCCAGCTCAGAGCCTGGAGTCTGCTTCGGATTCTGTGACTCCCTCTCTCTCTGACCCTCCCCTGCTCACGCTATCTCTCTCTCTCAGAAATTAAAAAAAAAAAAAAAAAAAAAGATCAGACATGAGGAAGACTTGTTTCTCAGGAGGAGGTCTGAGTTATAGTTCTGGTGTGACTGCTCTCCCTTCTCAGTGTGCTCCCTTTTTTGTGGGTAAGCCCAAGGGAACTTCAATTCTGTGATTTATTCTCTTTCTCCAGAGAGACCTCTGGGCTTGTGCTCCTCTCTAGTTGTCCCCAGACGGCAAGCCGCCTCCAAAAGTTCTTCATCCACTCACGGAGAGCCCAGAGGCCCACAGCCACCTACTGGTGAGGGGTGCTGGGAGGCTCCCGTGGCAGTAGGGAGGTCCTGGCAAGCCACTCTGTGACCGCTTCCTGCCTCTTTCTTAGTGCTGTCACTGATGGGATCCCAGCTACTTCTGAGGGGAAGATCCAAGCAGCTTTGAAACTGGAACACGTGGATGGCGTCGATCTTGTGAGTCACGGTCTGGCAGGGGGCAGAAGGGGACTCTCCAAATGTATTATCCCTACAGAGGAATCAAGAGTATAGACTTGGGGTGGCTAGCTCTCCTGTCCCCTAAAACAGGCAAGTGACTACCGCTTATACCGTGGCCTTGTCTGTTGGGTGCAGAGAGGGTCTGGGCTTAGCTGCCAGGGGTGTGTGAAGCTTGTTCATTCTTAGGGGCTGACGCCACAGGTAATTCCAGTGAAGTCCCCATCCCGAAAGGACTTCCAAGAAGGTGTCAAGAGGACTCTCAGCCACTTCCGTGTGCTGGCCATGGGCTCTGGCTGTGCCCTGGTCCAGCTGCAGCCACTGACAGGTGAGTTGGAGCCCCAGCCAGCCTTCGCACCTGTATGTGGCCGGAGGAGGCCAGGGAGATGGGAGGGTGGGGGTGGTAATGGCAGCCTGGGGAGCATTTGATGGACCCCAAGGAGAGGTAATCAGGCCCAGCTGGAGGAGGTAGCACTTCTTCTGTCCGACGGTCCTTCCTCTGTAGCTCACCTATTTTTTTTTTTCTTACTGATCTCAGGATCTTTTCTCTGTCTTTGGTGTCCTGTGGTTTCACGATGCCGAATCTAGGTGTGTGGGTTTAGTTTTGTTTATCTTGCTTGGGATTCACCCGAATCTGAAAATTAATGTACCATCTATCCTGGAAAGTTCTTTTTCTCTTCCAGTGTTGTACCTCTCGCATTCTCTCTATTCTCTTCCTTTTGTATGCCTAAGAGATGCGACTGACCTTCTCATTCTACTTGCTTGGTCCCTTTTCTTCCCTATTTTTCATTTCTTCATCCCTGGTGCATTCTGGGTAGTTTCTTTAGATCTATCTTCCAGGTGAATAGTTTTCTCTTCAGTTGGATCTAATCTGCCAGTTCAGCCTATCCATCGGCTGTATTTTTCACTTCTAGAAGTTCTATTTGGTTGTTTTAAAAAAATGGCCTTAAAAATATATAGCAGCTTTTTCCCCTCATGTTATTTTTTGTCTTTAACCATGTTAAACACACTTATATACTGTATTTCTAGATCTTCATTGTCTAGGATTCTGAGGGGTCAAATCCTATGATGTTTCGTGCTGACTCTAACACCTGGTGGATTGTTTTCTCGTTGCTCTGCAATTCAGGGTTGTGAATTCAAGTTCAGCTAGGCCTTTATCTTTGGAAATATTTTGTTGCCTCACTGTAGGTAGGGCCCTCAGGAGAGGTTCTGCCCTTGCTTTTGTCAATTGCCCCAAGGCTGTCACTAGTTCAGGATCTCTCTAAATATTGATGTCTCCATTGCAAGTTCACAGATCTCGCAATGTCTCCACTACAAGTTCACTCAGGTAGTGTTAATTTGAGCCCCCAAACTGTGTGAGAACAGGCTCATGGTTGTGAATTCTCAGGGGAAAGCTTTTTCCTTTCCCTCTTATCGGTAGCTGGCTTTTTCTCCTACCTAGTCCACCCCATCACTGGAGATGCAGCTCCTCTAGTATTTCATTTGGATACCAAGGTCTCATCCCTGGCCTCAGGGTAGCTACTGAACCCCAAGGCCCCCAGATACCAAGATTGGCAGCATCCCTAGAACAGGTGTGCTCTGGATTTGTTTTCCCCTGGTTTTGGTCTTGGGATCTTACTTTCCTGTGTGCCCAGCTGCATATTTAAAAGAATGATTGTTATCTTTCTGGTGTTTCTAGGTGGTTTATAGCAAGAGGGTTTTTAACTTTTTTTTTTTTTAAGTGTATTTTGAGAGAGTGTGAGAGGGGCAGAGAGAGAGAATCCCAAGCAGACTCTGCACAGTCAGCTTGAACCCATGAACTGTGAGATCATGACCTGAGCCGAAATCGAGTTGGATGCTTATCTGACTGAGCCACCCAGGGGCCCGGCAAAAAAGGGTTTTGGATTATCCAGTCCACCATATGGCCAGACACGGGAACAGAGTACAGCTCCTGGGTTTGAATCCTAGCTTATGGTGGTAGGCGAGTCACTTCTCTTTGAGCTTCAGTTTTCCTATGTGCCAGATGGGAATGAAAATAGGACCTGCTTTACAGGGCTGTCATGAGGACTGACTACGTTTACATAAGTACAGCATTTTGAACCATGCCTAGCACACAGCCCCCCAATTCTGTACTTGTCAAGGTCCTTTTGGTTGTAATTTCCCCAAAACCTGTTCACATTGGTGTCAGCCAAAAACAGGGAATGCATTGGCTCATACAGCTTAAGGTTTGGGCCTGGCTGGATCAAGAGGCTCAGAGGATGTCCTCTGGAAGCCACTCCTCCATTTCTTCTCGCCTCCTGCATGTTGGCTTGTTTCTCCCACAGGCTCTCCTGTGGTGAAGGTAGAGATGGCCTGGGGCTCCAGCAGCTCCTGACCTGCACCCCACCCGTTTAGCACCCGTGCAAGAAAGAGCATTCCTTGATTCCAGTAGCTTCAGCAGTAAATTCACGAGCGGATCCCACAGGCCAGGTGGACCGATAGTTAGGACGGTCCTGACCTGGTCTTGCCCCCTGTGCTGGAGGCGGGGGCAGTAGCAGCACTGAGCTCACTGAAACCACATGATCTGGGAATGGGGGTGGAGCAGTGGGGTCTCCCCAGAGGAAACGGGGAGTGATGAACCTGGGTGGGACAGAAAGAGCAGCTGCCCACCACCTGTCCCCTCTCTCCTGTCCCCCAGCGTTCCCCAGTCAGCTCCAGGTACACATGCTGCTGCAGCTCTGCCCTGTGCTTGGGGATCACGCATACTCTGCCCGCGTGGGCACGGTCCTGGGCCAGCGCTTTCTACTGCCGGCGGAGAGCACCAAGCCCCAAAGACAGGTACCCAAGCCTCCCTACCTGCCGTTTTGGGGGGCGGGCAGCGCCTGAATTTCGGACAGGAGCTCCGAAATTTGGGACTGAGGCAGCCCTCTTGGCTTCCAAGGCTGTCTGTAGCCCTATCTTGCTATGGGGCCCTGAGCAAGTGACATCTCCTCTCCTGGGCCTCATTCTGCCCCTCTGTTCAATAAGGAAGTTGAACTTGCCAGTTTCTCAAGGCCCTTCTAAGTCGGCTGTTCTTTGGGTCTCTTTGGTATAGGGTAAAAGTAGGTATAGGGAGGGGGGTGTGTGTGTGTGTGTTAGGGTAACTATCTGCTTTAACAGAGTAACCCCAAAGTGCCAGAGTCTTAGCACAGTCATTTCCCTCCACATTAAATCTAATTAATGGAGGTGGGTGGAGTGGGCTTTACTCCAAGCAGTCACTCAGGGACCCAGGCCCTTGCTGTGCAGCCAGCAGGTGAAGGGAGACAGTACGGTGCAGGCTCACGGGGGAGCCACGTCCGGAAGTGGCATATGCCTGCACTCCTGTTCATTGGCTGAACTATCACGTGGCCTCACCAAACTGCAAGAGGGACTTGGAAATGTTGTTTAGCTGTGTGCCCAGGTGGAAACTGATTTGGTGAACCCTACCCAGTCTCTGCCATAGTGTGACTCTGTGTGTGCGCGCGCGCACGCAGGTGTGTAGAGGAAGTGACTAACAAATTATGGACTTGGAGCAAGCGAGGGAGGGAGGGTTTGCCTTAAGTCCCATTGTGGTTAGAGCTGCTGGAGCTCAACCTGGCTGAACACTGACCTGCCTCTCCCACCCCAGGTCCTGGACGAAGCCCTCCTCAGACGCCTCTGCCTGACCCCCTCCCAGGCTGCCCAACTGCCCTTGCATCTCCACCTGCACTGTCTCCATCTTCCAGGCGTGAGGCCCAGGGAGGCCCCCATGAAGCTTCTGGCACCCTTGCCCCCTTATTTCTCCAGGACCCTACAGTGCCTGGGGCTTCCTTCTCTTCCTGCTGGAAAGCGGGGGGTGGGGGGGGGAATGAACCTACCATCAGACCTGAATGAATGAGGTCAGCACTCAACAAGCAGTAAGGCCTCACTTTCAAATCCTGGGCTCTGCACTGGGACAAACCTAAGATCAAAGCCTCCCTAGGCCACCTGCTGTACTGTGTTAGGCAAGTGACTCCATCTCTCTGGACATGCGTTAATAAAAGTACCTACCTCATAGTACAGTTTTGAGGATTTGCTAAGAAAGGGATTATTTATCATGGAGCACGCTTTCTGCCGAGTTCAATATGTGGTCTTCTTATTTGGCTGTTTCTGTCCCCATTCTAGCTGGGAGGAAATGTTTGATTTTTTAATTGTGCTAAAATACACATAGCAAAATTTACCACTGTAGCCATTTTAAGTGGTTCAGTGGCATTAGGTGCAGGTACACTGTTGTGCAGTCGTCCCATCGTCTTACAGAACCGAAGCTCTGCCCCACGAAACACCGACTCCCCATCTGTCTCCCAGTGGCCCCCGCTCTCCTTTGTCTCTATGATCTGACTACGCTGGGGACACGATATTGAAATGAAGATCTCAGATCTTTTACAGTAAACAGCTGTGAAACATATCAGACATACAAAGAGTACATAAACATCTCTGCGATTTAAAGAATTACAAAGTGACGCCCATTTAACCACCGCTCAGGGCATGAAACAGAAACATGCCTCTCCCTCCTCTTTAGGGTACCAGTTCTCAACCCTGGTCTCACAGTAGAACCCCCTCCACCTCCCTCTCAGGAAGCTTAAAAAAAAAAAAGCCCCACACCTTCCCCGTGATTCTGCACCCCAAAGATACCAATTTAAGCAGTCTGGGCCGGAGACCCTGGTATCCATCTTTTAAGCTCCCCCAAGGGGTTCTATTATTCATTCTAGGTTGGAAATCCCTACTGACATGGGAGCTTCCCTTGCTTGTCTTGTTAGGGTTTCCCACTTACACATGCATCCCCCCTCGACAATATACTTTGTTTTGCCCGATTTTGGTCTTTCCAGAAGCAGAGTCATGCCGTGTATGTCCTTTTGTGATCTTGTTCCACGCCGCGGAAGGCATCTGTGATGTACGGCCTGGGCTTGAATTCCAGTGCATGACCACACCAGTCTATCCATTCTGTTAGTGGACAGTTAGGGCATTTAGCTGTCAGCACAACAGTGGTGTGAACCCACCTGTGTGCACTTCCTGGTTCGGTTTTGCAAGAGGTGCTGCATCAGAATACATGTATGTCCACTTGACTAGTATCGTTAGTTCCCTAGGGCTGCTGTCCCAAACTACCACACCCGAGTGGCTTAAAACAACAGAAATCATTTTGTCACAGATGTGCTTGGAGGCCAGTCTGAAGTCAAGTTGTCAACAGGGCCGTGCTCTCTGAGGCCTCTCGGGGTGAACCCTCCCTTTCCTCTTTCAGCTTCGGGTGGTTCCAAGCCTTGACTTATGGCTGTTCTCACAGCAGCCTGCCTCCATCTTCCCATGGCCTTCTCGTGTCTGTGTCTTCTGACTCACATAAAGACACCTGTCATTGGATTTAGGGCCCGCCCACCTGCATAATCCAGAGTACTTTCACCTCAAGACCTTTAACTTAAGCACATCTACAAAGACTCTTTGTCCAAATGAAGTTATTCAGTTTCCAGGCAGATGTATCTTTGGGTGTAGCGGGGACTGCCACTCAACCCACTACAACTAAGAAATACCAAAGTTTCTCAGATGGTTTGTTTGACATTACCTTTGTAGGCAACCACAGCCCCCTGCTGAGGAAGGGGCGGACCCACTCCCTCTGGAGAGGGGCTGGGTTAGGGCAAGGTTCCTGCTTCCTTCATCTCATGCTGTAAATCGCACGCCCTTAGGTGTCACTCTCCTGCCCGCCAGCTTCTCCCCTGGGCTCGGCGCTTGGGGACCTCCCAGTGGTGAGCAGTCCGGCAGTGTGTCCTAGCTTTCTCACTGCCACATGATCTTGGGCAAGCCATGGCTTCTCATTCAGACTCTGACTGCTCATCTATAAAGTGAGGCTAATCGCCCCCATCCAAAGGTCAGGGATGCCAGGGAGTCCCTGAATAGGAAGCCCCATGTCTGTCGTGAGTGGGAGAATTCCGGCCCTTGCTTTGTGGAAGGCCGCTGATGGCCTGCAGCTCTCATTCTGGACCTTGGGGTGCAGGGCCTCCGCCTACCCTCTCTTCACCCTCCAATAGGAATGGAGCCAAGCCCAGGATACTTCACTTGCTCCTTTTTATTTGGCACTGCATCCGGGATAGGGGCAGTGAGGATCGAAGCAAGGGCTTCTGAAGCCTCATGTCCCGCATGCCCCCTAGACCCTGGTATGCACTGATAAAGGGCAGGGGGCCTGGAAGGCTCAGTGTCTTCAGGAGGCATGCCTCAGCCTTGGGTTTGTCACAGAGTCTGGCCTTGAACTTGCCTTTGGCCTTGATCTTTCTGTGGGTGCTAGGAAGATTTCCAACCTCGAAGGGTAGAGGCCACAAGGCACTTCCAGGACAGGGACCACGAATACACTGGGGAGCAACAGCCTCAGTGTGAAAGGGGGAAGAAGGGGAAGAGGTGATCAGGAAATCTGTTCAGCAAGGGGGTTCTGAGAAAAAAAAGCCGTTCCCTTGGGGCTCCAGCTAGCCCGGGAGCTGCCCTCGCCCGTGCCCTCCAGCCCCGACCCCAGTATTCAGCACTGCCCACCAGGTGCAAGTCATAGCTCAAGGCCCACCTTTCTTGGTTTCAGGGCGTTGGATGCCAACTTGAGCTCAGGGTTAGATGGGAAGGAAATCAAAACCTTGGCGGTAGGGAGAGTCATCAAGGCCTTGCCTGTGGTTGACAGGGCCTTAGAGCCCACCAACTTGCTGTGCTGCAGTCTGAGGACCGGGCCCTGGCATCGGAGCGGATGGGGAGGAGGCAGCCAGGCCTTCGGGTAGAGGCTCGGGAAGTGGTAAGGGGCTGTGGGAGCAAGAGGGGCCGTCAGGGCCTGGGGAGGGCCCAAGGCTCACCAGCACCCCTCAAGGTGTGCGTGGAGGGTGGAAAGGTGGGGGAAGATGAGGGCTGGGGTGTGAGATGGCAAATGGAGCCCTCCCAGCTCCTCCTCCTCCAGAGGCCATGGGAAGAACGCGGGATTTGGAGCCCAACAGACCTGGTCTGCATCCCAGCTCTGCCCCTCCTGAGATGTGCAACCTCGGGCAGCTTCCTTAAACTTCCTGATGCCTCGGCTGGAAAATGGGGATAATAGCACCTACCTTGCTAGGTGGTGAGGAGCTGGCTGGGGAGCGGCCCAGTGTAAATTGTTAAGTGCCCTACGATTAGCTCCTTTCCCCCAGAGGCAACTTTGCATGGAGGCAAAGGCAGAATACTGCTAGAGGGAAAGCTTGGGCTCTGAGGAGAGATGGACCCTGGACTGAGTCCTGGAATCTGGGAAGTACGTAGCGCTACCTTGCAGGGTGACTGCTTTGCAGGGAACGATATTCATTTGGTCATGCATTTTTAAAAAATACTTTGCAAGTGGTGGCTCTTACTTGCTACTGGTGCCTTTTTGGTGGGGCTACGGTGGGGCTGCAAATCCACGTGGTTAGGAGGGGCTTGGAGAATAGGAAGAAAATGCCTTGGGACCCTGGGGTGTTTGGGGGGAGTGGTCTTACCCAGGGCCTGGGGGTTCTTCAGACTCAATGGCAATCTGTTCAACGGGTGGGGCTGCCTGTCCCCACTAGCAAAGGTCATGGTGAAAATGCAGCCCATCCTGGTGTTGGGGGGTTCCCACTTCCGGAGACTGGGGTGGGCCAGGGCTGTGGCACATTTCGCCTTGCCTTTCTTCCCCTTTCCAGGGGCTGAGGTGGTGGCAGTGGAGACTGGCTTCTCAGTGTGCCCCAGGCTCCTGGCCCCAGCAGCCTTCCTAGGAGCTGACCTGTGGGTAACGGTCCCTGAGTCCTTGCCTTCCCCAGAGCCTCGCTGGGTCAGCAGCTGAGGGAGGGCCGGGCGGACCCCCATCCGCCGATGACACATTGCCAGGGGCTTCTTGATGGTGGAGCCTTCTACCAGGAGCCGGATACCCACATACTGGGGTACCTCCACGGCGGGCTGTGGGAAAGAGGAGAGGAGGCCCGTTGAGACGGTGGTGCTGGCATTAATTTCTGGGTTGAGAAACTGGGAGCTCATCTCTGTCCTCTAAGGGGTCTGGCTCAAGAGGCCTGAAATCAGTACCTAGAAAGTCACAGAGTCCCTGGGATTAGTAACCCAGTGGAGTCAGGGAGTCTTAGTTAGGCCCGCATTAGGAGCCCCTGCCCTTTGCCCTCCTGAACGCCCCCAGTCCCGGCTGAACTGTGTATGCTTCTGCTCCACAAGCCACGGCTGATGGGCAGCTTCCTGAGTTATGCCAGATTCTGTGCAGACAGAATTTGAGTTATGTCGGCCAGACAGTTAAGAGGCTTGGAGCCTGCCTAGAGCCTTGCATGAACCTATTATGGGGAAGCAGAAACGAAGAGCCTTAATGAAGGCATTCGATCGAGAGAATGAAGCAGCAAATTTGCTGAAGGAGGCAGACAGAGATCCAGGCAAGGAGGTGCTGTACAATTTTCAGCTCTGATTAAGCCAGCAGAACCTCCTACAGCTATGCTCCAGGACAGCCTCCCTGTGTCTTGCTAATGACCCCTTTTTAACCATGAGCTGGTTTGAGGGGTTTTCTGTGTCAACAATGGATCCCGATTAAAATCTATCAGAGTCACTTGCAGCTTGTAAAAAATACAAATATCAGAGCTGCCGCAAAGCCCCTTTAATCAAAACCGGGTATCAAAATAAGTCAGTGAAAAGGATGACAGGATTATGTGTCATGGGCGCTAAGTACCACTTTACAAAGTAACTGATCATTGCAAAGGGGAGGATGCAACTCACAATGGAGAGATCTGGTAGCTACCACCTAAACCCCATGGCCAGAGCTAGCATCACTAATCACAAGACACCCACAGTGTGTGCCTTGTGTTGCCATATGAGGTACCCAGCATCACCTCTCAAGTGTTCTTGCCAAAAATGTTTTACCTGAACCTTATCAAGCTGTTTGGCCCAACTTCTAGTTTATAGGACATTGAGATAACAGAACAGTCTAAATAGAAACAATCAGATAAATCCAGAATGTGGGACAGTTCTACAAAACAACCAACCTGGTCCCTTCAAAAGATTAGGGGTGACGGAAAACAGTGCTGCTGTTCTAGATTAAAAGAGATTAAAGAGCACCAAAAAGAATAAAGACCTGTAATAAATGTAACCAAGGAAATGAAAGACCTGTACACTGAAAGCTAAGATAGTGATGAAAAAAAAAACTGAAGACACAAATAAACGGAAAGACATTCTGTGCTGATGAATGAATGTTATTAAATTATCCATGCTACTCAAAGCAATCTACAGATTTAACGCAATCTCGATCAAAATGCCAAAAGCATTTTTCACAAAAAGAAAAATTTCCAAAACTTATATGGAACCACAAAACACTCTGCATAGCCAAAACAATCTTTTTTTTTTTTTTAAGATTTTTATTTTTAAGTAGTCTCTGTGCCCAACGTGGGGCTTGACTTTACAACTCCAAGACGACAAGTCACACACTCTACCAACTGAGCCAGCCAGGTGCCCCCAAACAGTCTTGAGAAAGAAGAACAGAAGTTGGAAGCATCATGCTTACTGACGACAAACTATATGACAAAGCACAGTAATCAAACAGTATGGTACTGGCATTAAAAAATGCACATAGACCTACTGAACAGAATACAGAGCTGCCCAGAAATAATCCCATGCATAAATGGTGAATTAATTTAAGACGAAAGAAGATACAAGAATATTCACTGGGGAAAGGGCAGACTCTTCGATAAACGGTGCTGGGAAACCTGGACAGCCACACGCAAAAGAATGAACCTGGACCACTATCTTATAACACACACAAAAACCAACTCAGAATGGATTAAAGTGAATTTAAGACCTGAAACCATAAAACTCCTCAGAGAAAACATAGGCAAGTAAGGTCTATGACATCTGTCTTGGCAATGATTTTTTGGATTTGATACCAAAAGCAAAGGCAACAAAAACAAAAATAAACACGTGGGACTACCTCTAACTAAAAAGCTTCTGAACAGCAAAGGAAACCAACAACAAAGTGAAAAGGCAACCTACCCAATGGGAGGAAATATGTGCAAATCATGTCTGATAAGGGGCTAGCATCCAAAATACACAAAGAACTCATACAACTCAATGGCAATGACAATAGTCTTATTTAAAAATGGGCAGAGGATCCAAGAAGACATTTTTTCCAAAGATGACCAATAGATGGCCAACCGACACATGAAAATGTTTCAACAGGAGCCCCTGGGTGGCTCAGTCGGTGAAGTGTCCGACTTCAGCTCAGATCATGATCTCACAGTTCGTGGGTTTGAGCCCTGCGTCAGGCTCTTGTGCTGACAGCTCAGACCCTGGAGCCTGCTTCGGATTCTGTGTCTCCCTCTCTCTCTGCCCCTCCCCTGCGTGTGCTCTGTCTCTCTCTCTCTCTCAAAAATAAAGAAACATTGAAAAAAATGTTAAAAAAAATAAAAAAAGAAGAAAGAAAGTGTGTTCAACATCACTAATCATCAGGGCAATCCAAATTAAAACCATAATAGGCTATTACCTCACACCTGTTAGAATGGCTATTATCAAAAAGAAACAGGGTTGGTGAGGATGTGGAGAAAAGGGAACGCTTGTGCGCTGTTAGTGGGAATATAAATTGGTGCAGCCACTGTGAAAAACAGTATTGAGGTTCCTCAAAAAATTAACAATAGAAATATGATATGATCCAGCAATTCTACTTCTGGGTATTTATCCAATGCAAACAAAAAACATTACTAACTTGAACAAGTATCTGCACCTCCATGCTAATGGCAGCATTATTCACAATATCCAAGACATAGAAGCAATCCATGTCCATCCATCAACGGATGAATGAATAAAGAAAATATGAGTGTCTATCTATCTATCATGGAATGCTATTCAGCCATAAAAAGAAGGAAATCTTGCCATTTGTATAACATGGATGGGTTTTGAGGGAAGAAATTACGCTAGTGAGGAAAGTCAGAGAGAATGACAAATATCTCATGATATAAATTATACGTGGAACCTGAAATAAACATAAAAACAAAACCAGAAACAAAAACCCTGAACTCATAGACACAGAGAACAGATTAGTAGTTGCCAGAGGCAGTGGGCAATATGGATGAAGGGGGTCCAGGTACAACTGTCCAGTTATAAAATAAATAAGCCAGGGATGTAATGTAACATATAGTTAATAATACTGTATTGCGTATTTGAAAGTTGCTAAGAGAGTAGACCTTTTAATTTTTCACTAGAAGAAAATAAAATTGTAACTGTGTGTGATAATGGATGTTAACTAGACTTATTGTGGTGATCACTTCACAATATATACAAATATCAAATCATTCATTATGTCGTATACCTGAATCGAATATAGTATTCCATGTTAATTACATCTCAATAAGCAACAACTTCAGAGAGATCTAAGTCCTTTAAAGCAGCTTCGGATCTTTTAAGCAACCCAAGGGCATACTTATATGTCTTATGTTTAAGTCTTTAACACATTGTGAGTTAACAGGGCGGTAGGCACTCTCTGTTAACAGTAGGGCTTCTAGAATTGTGAGGGCTGTTGTCTTGTAGTAGCCTCACAGAGAGGAGAGCTGTCTCTAAGAATTGTGGATATGGCTTAGGTGTAATAGAAGAGAGTATAAATTTGATACATAAGAAACCCACAAAGTTTTTAAAAATATGCACTTGGACTGAAAGGGACAGACACAATATGAAATCAAAGAGGCTTCTGTATCCAGGTAACAGACTAAGAACTATTGAGGATGTTCATGGGAAAGGATGATTTAGGGCTGAACGGAGATTCCAATGGATGAAAGCAAGAGCCACAGAGAATTCCTAGGAAGTTAACGAGGGTCCTAATAGCAAAACTGGAAATGTGTGCCGGACTAGATTTCAGAGTTGCTATGGACCAATGCTTCCCGTGTACTTCCTACTCTGTGTCTCCATTTTGAATGGGAGAATCATTAAAGGAAAAAAGTAGGACAAAGTAAGACAAAAACAACCAGTGCAAATGGTGAATCTTCATGACATGTTGGTTTAAAAAAAGAAAAACAAGGGTGCCTGGGCAGCTCAGTCAGTTGAGCAACTGATGATTTTGGCTCAGGTCATGATCTCATGGTTGGTCGGTCGGTCGGTCGGTCATGAGATGGAGCCCCATATTGGGCTCAGTGTGGGGCATGGAGCCTCTCTCCCTGCCCCTTCCCCACATGTACACATGTGATCTCTCTCTCTCTCTCTCTCTCAAAACAAACAAATTGTTTTAATTAATAAAAGTTAAAAACAAAAACAAAAAGCCATAAAAGATTTTCAGGACAACTAAGACATCTGAAAAATGCAGATGTGTAGACCCTGAGCGGGACGTTTTAGAACAGTCTCTGGGGGTGGAGCTTCCTGAGACCTGTGTTTTTGGGAAGCTTGCCGAGTGATTCTGGCCTGTGAACCAGCATTTGGTAACCATTGTGCTAGAATGTTCCCTTCTCCCTTGGCTTTGTCCTATTTTCCTATCCTTATATTTGTTTTTTGAAACCAATATGCCAATATTGATTTATGATCAGTAAATGTGACAAAGACCAGGACATTTGGGTCATGTAATTAGCATGTTCTCTATCCGTGGCCAAACTTTGATAGAAGCCAAATCCTTTTTTTTTTTTTTTTTTAATGTTTATTTATTTACTTTAGGAGACAGAGGGAGAGAGAGAATCCTAAGCAGGTTCTACACTCAGCACTCAGTGTGAAGCCTGATGCAGGGCTCTATTTTACGACAGCCAGATCATGACGTGAGTCAAAATCAAGAGTCGGAAGTTTAACCAGCTGAGCCACTCAGGTGCCCCAATAGAAGTCGAAACCTAATCAGAATGATACTTAGGATTAGGATAGTTAATTTAATTGCCATGAGAAATTGCAGAGTTCAGAAACACTTGAAATTGGTTTTCTGATTTTTAAAAACGGTATTCTATTCCGTAAGTGGACTCAAATCTCTTTCTGGAACAAGGCAAGTAAAATTAGTATAAAAGGAATAAAATAGTAACAATAATAACAGTAGCAGCAGCTTCCACTGACTGACTCTTCCTGTATGTCCAGGCATACGTGATGCCACCTTTCATGAGACACCTGATGACCTTATCAGGTACTAACAATAGCTAAAACATGGAGTATTTATGATGTTCAACCACTGTTCTGAAGGGCTTTACCTATATCCTCATTTAATTATCACAACCTTATGAGGTAGGGATTATATTGAGTCCTGCTTTACAGATGGGGAAACAGATTCCTAGGGGTTAGGGAATTGTTCAAAGTCACACAGCTCATACTTAGTGAGCACAGATTTGAACCCAGGGAGGTTTGGCTTTTAACACTTCGCTATATGCCTCTCTAGAAATGCGATCCCCATGTATATTTTTGTTATTGTTAGTGATACAATTAATTTTTCATTTGTTTTAATTCCAGTGTAGTTAACAGTCTTATATTAGTTTCCGGTGTACAATATAGCAATTCAACAATTCCACACACTACTCCATGCTCATCAAGATAAGTGTACTCTTAAACCTCTTCACCTGCTTCACTCATCCCCCACCCCCACCCCCCTCTGGTAGCCATCAGTTTGTTCTCTATAGTTAAAAGTCTGGTTTGGGGCTTCTGGGTGGCTCAGCGGGTTAAGTGTCTGACTTTGGCTCAGGTCATGATCTCAGAGTTCATGAGTTCGAGCCCCACATCGGGCTCTGTGCTGACAGCTCGGAGCCTGGAGCCTTCTTCGGATTCTGTATCTCCCTCTCTCTCTGCCCTTCCCCGTTCATACTCTGTCTCTCTCTCTCCCTCAAAAAAAGTAAACGTTAAAAAAGAATTTTTTTTAAGTCCAGTTTTAGGTTTGGCTTTTTTTCCCCCTTTGTTTTGTTTCTTAAATTCCACATGAGTGAAATCATATGGTATCTTTCTCTTCCTGGCTTATTTCACTTAGCATTATGCTCTCTAGATCTATCCATGTTGTTGCCGATGGCAAGATTTCACTTTTATGGCTGAGTAATGTTCCACTGTATATACTACATTTTCTTTATCCATTCATCTATTGATGGACACTTAGGCTACTTCCATAATTTGGCCATTGTAAATAATGCTGTAATAAACCTAGGGTGCACATATCCCTTCCAGTTAGTGTCTTTATATTCTTTGGGTAAATATCCACTAGCGCCATTACTGGATCACAGGGATGACTCCCACATATTAACTCATGTTCACTCTCCCAAACCCTGTGAGAAAGATGGTAACGGCATCTTCATTTTACAGATGAGAAAATGGAAGAGTGGCTTTACTGAGTCATTGTGGCAGGACCAGAACTTGAACCAGGGCTGTCTGCCTGCAGTGCCCTGTGCTTCACGAGGGGGGTGCCTGGAAGAGGGGGGAAGACTCCCTGGGGTCCTGCCTGGGCCCAGCCGCCTCACCTGCTTGTAGATGAGCTCGAAGGCTCCTGTGTCACTGTTGCGGTCTAGCCGCCGGTCGATAACCACTCGCAGGGTGTCAGCTTGCACGCCTGCGCAGAGCCGGGCGGTGACAGCCGTGGAGGGGGCCATGGTGGGGCTGGCATTGATCTCAATCAGCCAGGGCTGGAAGTCCTCACCAAACACGAAGTCAGCACCGTAGAGCTCGAAGCTGGCCTTCCGGCACTGCACGGTGTCCTGGGAGGTCTGCAAGGCATGGATCACAGCGGCCTTCATGCCAGGCACGATGACAGTGGACCAGGCGTTTGGGGCCCCCATCTCCCGCAGGTGGGCCTGGAACTTCTGGCTTGACCACATGTTGTCCGAGGGCAGCAGCGGGTGCCGATGGCATGAATTCTCCAGGTGCTTCTGGATGGAGTTGTTGCACAGGTGCACTGAGCTGGGGCAGAGAGCAGAAGGCCCTGGAGTCAACAAGCCTGCTCAAGTCCCACCTTCACCCCGACTAGTTGTGACATCGTCTCACCCAAGTGCTCCTTCACATCTGTCAAACGGGGGGAAACAGCACCCACTTCACTGGGTTTTCACGAATGACTGAGATAATATGCATGAAGCACTTGGTACCCATCACATATGCAGCGTTCAGTAACTAACCGACCGCTATGAGTTTCATAACAGTGCCTCCATTCTTCAGATGTGAAAAAAGCAGCTTAACGAGGTTTCACTTGACCAAAGTCACACTCCCTAGAAGCTGCAGAGATGGAATCCGAACCCAGGGCTCAACAAGACTTTCTCTCACTCCCCAAGTTAATACTGCAACCTGACTCTCCGCTCTAGATTTCTCCTGAACCCCCTGACCCTGCTCCACAGTCTTTGTTAAATAACACGTATCATTGTATTATCTATTAGATAATTCTACTTATTGTATTCAGTGTTTATGAGTAACGGCATTAAAACGATGCCTTATCAGCATAAGATACTTCACGTCACTCATTCTAAAAGAGATAAAAGTAAAATAAGATAACCATGTTTTACTCGAGTGGCAAAAATCATCAACAGTGTCGGGTAGGACGCAGGCAGACACACTTCATACGTGTCCACCTTACGTGTCACAGGCAGACACACTTCATACGTGTCCACCTTACGTGTGGGAATGTGAACCTTGAGAGCTGGGCTCTTGTTTTATTCACTGCTGTATCTCTGGAGCGTAGAACACACTTGGTAGGTATCTGCTGGATGGACGGAGAACCTGCCTGTGTGCAGACTGGGACTGGAGCCCAGCGTTGCACTGGGAGCCACCTGTCGCTTGTCAGCTCCGCAGCCAGACGGAAAGCTCATAGAACATAAGGGATGGGGCTCACTTGTCCAGGTTCGTCAAGGAGAAGGGCTGCGTGGAGAAGCGGATGTAGCTGTCACGGTAGAACCACACGGTCAGTGGGTTCCAGTCAGTCACCAGGAACCACTGTCTCAGGTCAAACTTGGTGCCAAAGATGAGCAGGGGCCGCTCAATATACTTCTGTACCACCCACTTGCCGTCCTTCATCATCGTGGGGTTGCCGTCTACCAGCTTCAGCATCTCCTCCAGGTGGTCCATACACATGATGCCTAAGGGGGAAACAGGGTGGTCAGGGCAGCTTGGGCTGGAAGAGCCCGGGTACCACGGACAGCTCATCTTTTTTTTTTTTTTTTTTTTTAATATTTTTATTTATTTCTAGGAGAGAGAGAGAGAGACAGCGTGAGCAGGGGAGGGTCAGAGAGAGAGGGAGTCACAGACTGAAACAGGCTCCAGGCTCAGAGCTGGCAGTCAGCACAGAGCCCGACGCGGGGCCCGAACCCACGAACCGCGAGATCATGACCTAAGCGAGAGTCGGACGCTTAACCGACTAAGCCACCCAGGCGCCCCAACGGACAGCTCATCTTAAGCCCTCATCCCCACAGAGCTGCTAGGCCTTTGGCAAAGCTGAGACTCTGCGAAAGATTTTTTTAAAAACTGGGGGGGAGTAGGGGCGTCTGGGTGGCTCTATCGTTTACGTGACTGGCTTCGGCTCAGGTCATGATCTACAATCCGTGAGTTCAGCACATGGGGCGCTGTGCTGACAGCTCAGAGCCTGGAGCCTGCTTCGGAGTCTGTGTCTCCCTTTCTCTCTGCCCCTCCCCTGCTCACGCGCTCTCTCTCTCTTTTTTTTCTTAATTTTTTTTTTAAATGTTTTATTTATTTCTAGGAGAGAGAGAGAGACAGCGTGAGCAGGGGAGGGTCAGAGAGAGATGGAGTCACAGACTCTGAAACAGGCTCCAGGCTCTGAGCTGGCAGTCAGCGCAGAGCCCGACTCGGGGCTCGAACCCACGAACCACGAGATCATGACCGCGAGAAGCGAAAATCGGGCGCTTAACCGACTAAGCCACCCAGGCGCCCCTTGCTCTCTCTCTCTCTTAAAAAATAAATACTAAAAAAATTTTTTTTAAGATTAAAAAATTGTTTTAATTAACCTCTTTGGTTTGATTGAAAAGTAATATATGCACACGTAAAAATTCAAACCACATTGGGCTTTTTAAAATACCATATGCATATATGACTTTAACTTCTTCGCAATAATTAACAGAATATAAAACATAAAAGCAGGAAGTACAAAGGGTATAGAATAAAAAGATACTTCTTTCACAGAGGCAGCCAACTGCCGCTTCCGGGTCCAGTGGATACATTTCCAAATTATGGGAGAGTCTGTGTGCCTCAGTCTGATAAGGTTCTATGCCTCTAACAAAACATGTTAAGGATTTCAAATAGTTCTTGGCCTATGGTGAGCATTCAGTAAATGTTAACACCTATCATTATTATTAGCTATCTGTAGAATAAATTGCTAGCTGTAGATATGCTGGCTCCAAGGGTATGTACATTTTTTCATTTTATATTACAAAAGATGTTCTACCAATCTGCACTCCCAGCAAAAGTATATGAGATTATGTATCTGCCCACACCCTGCCCAACACTATGGATTATTCTGGCCATTCTCTTAGGTAGAAAATAGTTACCTTATTTTAATTTTCTCTCTTTTATAACAAGTGATGTTAAGTACCTTATACTTAAAAGGCATCATTTTAATGCCGATAGATATCAGAATCACACTGTAAACATACGTGCTCACAAGTCAATCTCACTCCTTCATTGTCTGGCCCCCAAAGCGGCCTGATCACCTGCCAATGGCACAGAATAACTTGTGTCTGGTTCCCAAGCCAGATCCTTTCTTAAATGATGAGAATGATCATCAAGATTCCCAAGAACATAATGCCTTGTATAACCAAAAATTAAGGCTATTCATGTCCATTGACCCAGCAATTTCTTTTTTAAGAATTTATCCTAGGGGCGCCTGAGTGGCTCAGTTGGTTAGGTGCCCAACTTCGGCTCAGGTCATGACCTCGCGGTTCGTGAGTTCAAGCCCCACCCTGGGCTCTGTGCTGACGACTCGGAGCCTGGAGCCTGCTTCGGATTCTGTGTCTCCCTCTCTCTCTCTGCTCCTCCCCTGCTCATGTTCTCTCTCTCCCAAAGAATAAACAAACGTGAAATTAAGGGAGGCTTTTGCTTTCTTTTTTCTATTTTTTCTGTATTGTCGAATCCTTTTTTAAATAATAAATACATATTTTTAAAACTGGAAAAAAAAAACCAACCCCACAGTATTTACAAGGTAGGAAAAGAAAAGACCAAGAGGCCGGTTTTGAAGTGACACGGGGATGTCACTCAGTGTCCGGACCTTCAGTAGCTTCCCCTGGACATGAACAAACTCAGTATTTGGAAGGATCTGGTGCCAAAAGTCTGTTTTCCACATCTTGTGAGTCCTTAACCAGTGTTTTAAGGGCTGGGCTAATGCACCAACCCAACTTGATGGCTCCCCTGTTATAATTCCACTCACACTGGGCTGAGGGGCCAGGACAGTAGGTAAAAATAATAGCACTTATACAGCAGTTACTATGTAAAAGCACATATCACACTCACTTATCCTCTTGAGAAGGTAAAGTTGGCTCCATTTACCAAACGATGAAATGAGGTAGGACACAGGTTGACTCTCCTGCCCCAAGTCTTACAGATAGTAGGAGGCAGAGTGTGGGCTTGGCCTGACGTAGTCTGGCTCCCAGCATCCATACCCTTAAGCACATGCTATGCTTCACAAGGATGCTCTGGTCAAGTCAGAGAGCCCATCGATGATAGACTACTGCACGTGAGGATCACCAGACACACCTAAAGCATTAACCCAACTCTGAGAGCCAATGTTTATGGGGTGATCACCCTGTGCCAGGCACCATGCTGAGATTTCGGCGTGTCTGGAGAGTTAGCCACACTACCTCATTTAATCCTCGCCTCACAGGAGGTTACTCTCCCCTCTCACAGATGAAGGAACTGAGGTTCAGAGAGGTGGTGTAACTTACTCAAGATCACACAGACTATTAGTAGCAAAGCTAGGATTCGAACCCAGGCAGTTTGGGTCCAACATGTCCTGCACTATTAACCTCCCCAGCCTCTAGGCTGGAGAGGCAGGCTGTAGGGCGCTGGTGCAGGAAGCAGGGGCTGACCCCCACCTCGTCCTCGGGACTTGGCTCCCGGCTTCACGATCCAGACGTTGCGATCTCCTTCCATGTCCATCTGTGGCACCACGGCCCGCAGCTGCTGCAGGATGTCCTCACAGCGCTGCGTCTGGGTGTCGAGGTGCCTGAGTTCTGCCCCCTCGCTGTGGGGAGATGAGGGGATTGGGCAAGGCTGGGTCTGGGGGCAGCCTGGTGGATGAGGCAAGAGGAAGCACAAGCCCCCTGGCCATGGTCCAACACACCCTCCCCCGAGATACCCAGTTAGGTCTCTTCCAAACCCCCATCCCATCCTAAGCTGCCCCCCCATTCTCACTGGCCCAGGGTGCCCCCTGAGAATGCTAGAACACGAGGGGGTGACATTCCACTTGTCACATGCCCTCCTGTTCCAACACCCCGCCCTCTGTGCCTACCTTCTGTTACAACAGAACTGCCGTCGGCAGAATGTGATCACGCCAGCATCTGGCGACGAGGCGCTACTAGGTGCCAGGGGTAGTGCCAGGGGCTTCACATACATTATCGCTAATCCTCTCTATGGCCTTGCCAGGGAAGTATTACTCGTCCCGCCCTGGAGACGTGGACACTGAAGCCGGGAGACTTCAGAGGACTTGCCCGAGGCCACATACTGAGTCAAGTGGCTGCGTCAGGATGCAAACGCTGTCCTGCTTGATCCCTCCATCCACTGGTACTTTTTGGAGTACCAGTTTTGGAGGGTTCATTCTCCTCCAAACTAACCTGGGTGATAGGTTGGTCTTCTCCTGGTCTAACTCTTTTTTTTTTTTTTTTTTTATATTTTTTTAATTTATTTCTAGGAGAGAGAGAGAGAGAGAGACAGTGCGAGCAGGGGAGGGTCAGAGAGAGAGGGAGTCACAGACCGAAACAGGCTCCAGGCTCCGAGCTGGCAGTCAGCACAGAGCCCGACGCGGGGCTCGAACCCACGAACCGCGAGATCACGACCTAAGCGAAAGTTGGACGCTCAACCGACTAAGCCACCCAGGCGCCCCTGGTCTAACTCTTTCTAAGCACATCCGTATCACACATCTCCTCGGCTTGTTTTCTTCGCATCACTTACCACGCAATACCTACGCTTATTTGGTTACTGTGTCTGTCTCCCTTCACTGGAATCCAAGCTCCATAAGAGCAGGGACATTTTTTACAGTCGTTATTCTGCTGTGCTCCCATCCTCCAACAGTACACCTTCTAGGTGCTCCTTAAAAGTCTGTTGTGGGGATGAACGGTTGCCTGCCTCAGCAACTGGGCTGTGCAGAGAAGGGTTCGTGCACAAAGACAGACTCTGTCAGGGCGCCTGGGTGGCTCAGTCGGTTAAGCGTCCGACTTCGGCTCAGGTCATGATCTCACGGTTTGTGGGTTCGAGCCCCGCGCCGAGCTCTGTGCTGACTGCCAGCTCAGAGCCTGGAACCCGTTTCAGATTCTGTGTCTCCCTCTCTCTTTGACCCTCCCCTGCTCACACTGTCTCTCTCTCAGAAATAAATTTTTTTTTTAATTAAAAAAAAAAAAAAAAGGAATATTCACACTTAAGTCCTAAATCTTCTTTTACCAGAGGGTTTGCTGGAAACTTTTTGGTGGACGCTGGCATAGGGAATCTGCTCAATAAACCCGTGCTTTGGCCCAGGGAAGTGTCAGATGACGGTGGCAGGGGCATGTGTCATTTGAAAAAGTACATTAGACATGCCAATACCATTTTTATATTTAACAACAACAAAAAAAGCAACCAGTGTTTGTGGGAAGTCAACCTTGATAAAAGCCTGGCTGGTGAGCCATGCATGATTTGTTTTTAAAAAGGTGAAAACAGGGGCACCCGGGTGGCTCAGTTGGTTAAGCAACCAGCTCTTGATGTCGGCTCAGGCCGTGATCTCATAGTTTGTGAGTTTGAGCTCCACTGACCGTGCAGAGCCCGCTTGGGATTCTCTCTCTCTCTCTCTGCTCCTCCCTCACTGTGTACCCTCTCTCTCTCAAAATAAATAAACTTAAAAAAAAAAAAAAAAAGCAGTTGAAAACCGTGAATTCCGTAAATATTGCAGGAATTAATGAATGCTAACTATCTGTAAGGTCCATGAGTTAGCCTCCTAACACCATATATATTTGACTGAGGCAGCCAGCTGCCCCAAAACCTTTTTTTTTTTTTTTTTTTTAAAGGCAGGCTCTATCCCCAACACAGGGCTTGAACTCAAGACCCTGAAATCAGGAGTCGCAAGCTCTACCAACAGAGCCAGCTAGGCACGCTTATACGATGCGATATTTTATGTAATCCCGACTTTGGAGAAGTGCCCAAGGCCCTCTAGAACTTGCCTTTCATCTAGAAATTCAAAGGATTCATGTTCTAATGTTCTAACTTAGTCTTGAGAATTCTTAGTTTAAGGAGGGGCCTTTCCTGGTACTTCTCCGGTAGCTCAGAATGTCATGCATTCCAAGCTCATTTATTAATTCTTTAGTGTCCCCTGTCAAAATGATGACGTCTGCCCACTCCTTTCTATTAATACCACCGAGCTGAGGCCCGTAGCGGCCCCGCCCGACTTGCTGCAAGCCTCCCCACCCGAGCTGTGCACCCACTGAGGGCACAGACTACACTTCATCTCTGGAGCCTGGCACAATGCTGAGCACACAGGAAGCACTCAATAGATGCTGGTGCCCTCCTGCCTTGGGGGCGCGCTTCTCCCTTCCTCACCCCGCACCCCCACGCCTCTGCCGAATCGAATTCCTGTCTCAACTCAACTCCCTTTCTCTGATTAAGAACCTTTTCCCCAAGTGTGTTCTGAGAAGACAAGCCCTCAGGACGCCTGGGGGAGCATGGGGGCCGGGGGCTCGTAAGGGCAGGATGTGCTGCCCCGTCTCTCTCTCTGAGGTTACCACCACCCACAGGTTCTGAGAAGCCTTGCATCGAGGAAGCCTGCATTCATTAACTTTGTTTCACCCGATGTGCTCCAGGTACAGCTGACAGCAAAAGCCTTTCATTCATCGAATCAATTTACGTCCCACAGAACTAAGCATCCTATGGGGCGCACTTTGGGAAACACTGGCCTCTAGGACCAACCCTCAATGACTTGACAGACTCCCATTTTGTGAATGAACCCTGTGAGTTTTGCTGCGTGGGTAACACAGATTAGCCTGCCTAACCCCATCGTGGAGACAGACATTATCTTGCGTGTGAAAAGTAAAGCTCGGAGAGATGAGTGGTATCGCCAAGGTCAAAAGAGCTGGGAGGCCGCCCAAGTCGGGACGACCTGACACCACAGGCCACGGTCTTAGTGACTATGCCACGCCAAGATTCGGGAAGGAGGGTTTGGAAGCTGACATGAAGGCAATGGGAGTCCCTGAGGGCTCATGGGCAGTAGAGGCGGGGCCAACCGAGTGGGAGCCTGGGGAGGAGAGGGTCCCTCCCTGAGCTCAGAACGTAAGCTCCCTGAGAGCCGGGGGCGCCTGCCCAGGCCGCGCGGCCCTGGCCTCACAGGTACTCACTGGACCACTTGGTAGTAGCGCCGGAGGAAGAGGGACCAGCCCTCAGGGCTGAGGTACAGGGGCGCCTCCAGGCCCTTGTCGATGTCCATGTGAGCCAGGGTGCTAAGATGCTCCTCACAGGCACACAAAGCCTCATCCACAAACTCTGGGGTCACCGTCGCTGGCTTTTTCTCCTGCTCCTTGGGCTGCTTGTCTCCTGAAGACAGAAAGGGGCCTGTCACTAGCTGACACGCGAGGCACGTCACCTGACATGTGCCACGGCCCCCAAGGCTCCAGGGCCTGTCATTTGCCTGAGGCCAGCATACCCGTGTACCCCCTACCGTCCTGGGACCTGTCACTTACCTGAGGCTCTCTTCTAGCTTCACCGGTGACCCTAGGACCCACCCTTGGCCCCACTGTCCTGGGAGCTGTTACTCACTTGAAGCTCTACACTAAAGGCCCCAAAGCCTCTCAGGCCCTATAGGCCCAGCACACACCTGCAGCCTCTCTGTCCCTGGGACCTCTGACACACCTGAGGCCTTTCTGTCCCTGATCCTGGCACACAACAGTCTTCTTTTCACCTGACATGCCCAGGAGACGGCAATGGAGAGGACTCCTTCTGCAAGAGGCAGGGACTTTCCTCTATCCAGTAGAGCTGCGCCTCCTTCCCTGAATCCATGGCTGATAGGCCCCTGGATAACAGGATGGGCACTTACAGGTAGGAGCTAACTTCAGAGCCAGAAAGGCCGAGCAATGGGTGGGGCCAACAGGCAGTAAGGGACTCTCTGTCCCCCTCCACAAGAGACAAGGGGTCCTCAGGCCACATGCAACTACATGGTTTCACTGCCTCCTCCTCATCCGAGACCTGAGCTCCCCACAGGCAGGGATGGACCATGTCTTCTTAGTCTGTCCTCTCTATGGTGGTTGGCCACACGCCAGGCCCGTGGGATGGCTGAGTGACGCAGCGGGTTGGTTAACAAATGAATCAGAAGACAGGTGGGTGACTGGGAAAGAAGAACAGATGAGTGGGTGGAGAGGAGGACATCGGGACGGTGGCTAGGAGAATGGAAAAGCAGGTGGGGAGATGGGGAGGCGAGTTTGTGGGAGAATGGAAAGGAAGGCACAGGAGAGGACAGATCGCAGGGAGTGTGGAGCTGAGAGAAGGCAGGCGAAGGAGTAAATCAGCAGTGTGGGAATAAGTGGGGTGAGGGGTGACTGAGTGACAAACAGATGGGCGGGTGACTGCGAGCTCAGTGGGTGGGAGTGTGTGTGTAGGCAGGTAGAGAGAGGAGTAGACGGATGGACGGACAAGTGGTGGGCAGAGATGTACGGATGGTGGGTAGGAAGAGGGGAGCGAGATGGGGAGGGGCAGATGGATGTGGCTAATACGCAGGCAGACGGGGAGATGAACAGATGACTGTATGGGGGGAAGGAAAAATGAAACGGGGGGCGGGGTGGACGTAACCACAGCACTTACCTGGGGCCTCTTCCTCTTCTGTCTGGACAGAGAGCGACTTCCATTCAGACTTCACCACCAGCTTGAGAACGTTGCGGGCAGCTGTCAGCCAGAAGTCCTCTGCTCCCGGGGCAGGGAATACCCTGCTCAGCCCCTGGGCTCAGGCCTGTTCTGGTTCCGGAACCTGATCATAACCTGCCTGCCCCATTTTGGATCCGGAACCTAACTACCTTCTGACTCTAGACTCTGGGATTAGAACCTGGCTTCTGTTTCAATTGCAGACCCAGGCCTAGAATCTGAGGTGGCATAAATACTGCCTTCCGAATCTGGCCTAGACCGGTTGTCTCATTTCCCCCTTCTGTTCCTTCTGATCCACTTGTGACTCTTACTCTATCCCGAGAACCGGACCTGAGCCCAAAACCTATGTCAGATTTGGAGATGAATTTAAAGCTAATATCGAATCTGAACCCAAATTCTGACCTCACCTTAGAACATGTTCTGAAGTCAGAAACTATTCTGCCTTAGAAACCCAAAGTCTACAGCCTTGTCTAGATTTGGAACCCAATCTACCCAGTGGAATCTGACACAGGCCTAGAACATACTACGGACTCCAAGCTCAACCCACTGGCCAACTTTTAGAAGCTACTTTAGAATACAGACTAAGCTATCTGAGCTCTTCTGGAGGTCTGCGTTGACCAAGCTGAGAAGTTTATTATGGGAGGCATATTAGGGGAAGATAAGGATTGGGGATGGAGAAGGAAATCGGCCGGGGTGAATGAAGACATAAGGAGAGGCCTTTTGCTCTCTAACATGAACCAGGGTTTTTAGCCTGGGGGTCCAGGCATGGGGCTGGCATCTCCTTACCTATGAAGGCCTTTTTGTCGTCCTCAGCCCCCAGGCGGTAGCAGCGCGGAAAGAAGGAGTCAGCATCAGCCTCATCAAACCACGGCAAATTCCGGAGATTGAGACACAGGCCCACCTGTGGAGTTAGCCACTGAGGGGGCACAGCGGGACTTGCCCAGGGCACCTTAAGGGACTCTCCACATTCACCACATGCCCAGACAGCTCGGGGAGACCCTGCTTGGATGTTCGCAGAGCCTCTGCTGCACTTGGCTAGGCCTGACTCACTCATACCCATTTCCATGTGTATGCCATGCAGTTTGCTCTGCCAAGAACGCCCTACATCCCTCCTCACTGTCCTTTCACATTCTTTTTTTTTAAGTTTTATTTATTTTGAGAGAGAGAGAGAGAGAGAGAACATGAGCAGGAAAGGGGCAGAGGGAGAGAGAGGAGAGTCGCCAGCGCTGTGAGATCAAACCTGAGCCGAAATGAAGAGTCAGATGCTTAACCCACTGAGCCGCCCAGGTGCTCCCACCCTTTCACAGTCTAAAAGACCTGCCTCCTCTAGGAAATCTTCCCAGCCCGCACCAGTAACATACTAGCAGGTTCCAATGATAAAGCTTGTCATTCTCGCCAGAACCCTACAAGATAGATGTTATTGGTATTCTCAGCACCTGGGTGGCTCCGTGGGGTGGGCGTCTGACCTCGGCTAAGGTCATGATCTCACGGTTCATGGGTCTGAGCCCTGCGTCAGGCTCTGTGGCGACAGCTTAGAACCTGGAGCCCGCTTCATATTCCGTATCTCCCTCTCCCCTGCTCTTATTCTCTCTCTCAAAAATGGATGAACATTAAAAACAAATGGGGCACCTCAGTGGCTCAGTCGGTCAAGCAGCCGACTTGGGCTCAGGTCGCGATCTCACAGTCAGTGGGTTCAAGCCCCGTGCCAGGCTCTGCGCTGACGGCTCAGAGCCTGGAGCTGCTTTGGATTCTGTGTCTCCTTCTCTCTCTGCCCCTCCCCTGCTCACGCTCTCTCTCTCTCTCTCTCAAAAATAAACATAAAAAAATAATTTAAAAATTAAAAAAATAATAAAAAATTAAAAACGCGGAAACTGAGGCTCAGAGAGGTGAAAACACTTGTTAATAAACCCAGGTGAGATCGAAAGGATCCATCAGCCAGATATTCCTTGCTTAACTGGTAAGGGGTCTCTTGTTTACAGTCACTGGACTTGGTGTTTTTCTGGCTCCGGATCCTGTTTGGATCCTGGAGTCTATTCTAGTCATCATGTCGACATGTGCCTGACATGCTGCAGGGGTTGGATTTGAACCCAGCCCTCCCTGATTCCAAATCCCACTGACTTCTATACCTCTCCACCTCCTAAGAACTCTTACTGACAAGGGAAAGCAGGGAGTGGGGTTGCCACCCAAGGACTATGGGTTAGAAGCTGCTATGCCTGCTCCCCTGGGGAACCCACCTTAGTGGTAAAAGAGCCAGCCCGGGCATAGTGGTTTATCATCTGATCCTTGGAGAGGAAGCGACAGTCCAGCACATCCCGCCGAGTGGTCCAGATGAAATAGGGGATCTCATTCCGAACCATGCGGGACTGGGGAGAGCAGAGGAAATAGGGGAGACTGGTGTGGGCAACACAAGGCCTGAGAAACTTCTCCTCGCTCTGCTGAGCGTGTGTGTGTGTGTGTGTGTGTGTGTGTGTGTGTGTGCGCGCGTGCGTGTATGAATGGAAGAAGAGTATGCTTCCAAGGCAGCCTCTGCCCACACCCCATATCTCTGTGTAAGGTAAGAAGAGACAGCTCTTCCTCCAGGGCACACACTTGGGAGCAGAGAGCAGGCTGGCTTGCAGAACTCCTTTGGTCAGGTGCCCCTAGGCAGTGACTGAGCTACACAACCTTTGTTTTGGCCCATGGCTATCAGTGACTTGCTCAGTGATAGGACAGTGACTCCAAGCTGATGGGCACAGAGTGTGTGATAAAGGCTCTCTCAGGACGGTACCTCCTCCATCCTTCCCGCAACTCTGGGAGGAAGGATTACTAACAGGCGATGACATTATGTGTCAGGCCTGTTCTAGGTGCTTTTCTTTCTTTCTTTCTTTTTTTTTTTTTTACGTGGTTTTCCTACCAACTCATTTAATGTTCATCAGAACCCCAAGAGGTAGGTGCTGCTGTTATCCCCATTTCACAGATGAGGGAACTGAGGCACAGACAGGATAAGTGACTTATCTCGGAGCTCACATGGTTGGGCCACATGAAATTGCCAGCGTTCAACTTCTAAGGACATACCAAAACGGCAATTTGGTATAGTTCAGCTTAGTAAGTGGTGATGCCAAGATTTAAAGCCAAGTGTCCCCACCTCATCCCAGAGGAGCCCTCACCTCCACACCATCAGACCAGCCCCTTTTGGAGCTTTGTAGGCCCTTCCTTCCAGCCTTCACTTGCCAAGGGCAGAGAAAGGATGTGAAATATGGGGGTTTTATTTGGAAGGGGGAATTACCAGTGTGGGGGTTCTGCTGGCTTCTGATATAACCTAGCAGGGTTCTGACCCCAGGCCAGGCTTGTCTGAGCCCCTGTGCCCCTCACCGCTCTCCTGGCCCATCCAGGCTTTACCGAAGCAGTTTTTACTACAGATGGGGAAACCGAAGCCCAGAGAAGGAAAGGACTTCTCTGAGGTAACCCAGCAGGCCTCTACTGCTCTCCCTCTAGCCCCTCCCTGCCAGCCCCCGGGGGACCTCACCATCAGAGCATGTGTCCCATCTAGGTCATCAAATTCCATTAAATCAGCAAAGTCAAACAGCTGTGGTGGTCGAAACGCCTCGTGTTTGTCTTCATCCTCTGTGGATGCAGAGCCCAGGCCTGGTGAGGTCCCCGTCCCTGCCCCACAGGCCTACACCAGAGTCTCAACCCCGGGACAGAGGAATCAAAGGAAAGGGACTTGGGGGGGGGGGGGCAGCCAGTGGGAAGGGAGGGAACAGCTCACCATCCTCAGTGGTGTCACTGTCACCCATTACTGAGCTATCCAGATCCTTCTGGGGTGGCGGCAGGGTGGTGCCCGAGTGATGGACCATCTTCTTCTCCACCCAGCCTCTCCGGCGCAAGAGGCACCGTATCACTGGGTAGCGGCCTTGGATCATAAAGATCTTCTTCTGCTGTAAGTTGAGAGAAGGATACTTATTCAGTAAGTGTCATCCCAGTGCCACACCTACGGGATACAGTGGTGAGCCAGACAGTTCTGGTTTCTGCCTTCAGGAAATGTTTATGTTCTAATCGGGGAGATACATTATAAACAAATAGAGAGGGGGAGATGGGCATGGAGGAGGGCACTTGTGGGGATGAGCACTGGGAGCTTTATGGAAACCAATTTGACAATAAACTATTTGTAAAATAAAAAAAAAAAACCAGAGAAATAAGTATGCATAGTAATAATGATGATGGTAAATGCTAACAATTATTGAGCACCTACCATGCTCTGCTTAGCTTATGTGTATTATTAATAACAACATGTCTTTTTTAATAGATGCTATCATCCCCACTTAAGTGGTTATGAAACAGAGGCATAGAGAGGTTGAACAGTGTGGGCACACGGTAATTAGTGCAAAAGCATTTAAATCCAGGCTGGCTGCCTCCCAAAACTGGATACTCAATGGAGACCCAGAGAGACTAGAAATACAAACATGGGAACGGTGAGAAGGCGTGTACAGAACTGGGCAAACAGCAGTTCAGGCAGAGGGAAAAGCATGTGCAAAGGTCCTGAGGCTGAAGAGAGGTCGGAAGAAACTGGAAGGAAGCCAGGGAGAAGGGGGTGTGGAAAATGAGGGCAGAGCTCCTAAGGAGGCAGGCAGTGGTACTTTCAGGTAGACTGAGATAGGTCTGCAGGCCTTGAACGGACTTGAATTTTATATTGAGGGTAGCATGAAGCGACAAAGGCACATTGAGAGTGTGACATGCTTGGAGGCTTTATAAGTTCGGCTTGCTGCTACACGGAGAACAGATGCGGGGATGGGATGGGGGGGACCACGGAGACTGTTAGAAGGCTGTTGTGGTTTGGGCAGGAGAAAAATCACAATAGCATTTCTAGAACAAGGGTAGAGATGTGGAGAAGGTGACAGAGTGGAGACTCGGTTTGGAAATAGACATGACTAGTTTTGCTGATGGGGTTAGATGTGTAGTAGGTGAGCAGGGTGCCTGGCTGGCTCGGGCAGTACAGCACTCAACTCTTGACTTGAGGGTCGTGAGGTCCAGCCCCATGCTGGGCGTAGAGTTTACTTGAAAACAAAAGCAAGAACAAAACACGGTTATCTAGATGTCTGGGTGAACAAACAGAAAGATCACATTCCTGGCTTGAGAACTGGGAGACAGAAAGACCGGAGATGAGGGAAGACAACAGGTTTAGGCAGGAAAATCAAGAGTACGGCTGGGGACATGGGTGCTTCTGAGTTGTCTCTGGATGGAGATGCCAAGAAGGGGCACGGATGGGGCGCCTGGGTGGCTTAGTCGGTTAAGCGTCCGACTTTCGCTTAGGTCATGATCTCACGGTTCGTGGGTTCGAGCCCCGCGTCGGGCCCTGTGCTGACTGCCAGCTCAGAGCCTGGAGCCTGTTTCAGTCTGTGACTCCCTCTCTCTCTGACCCTCCCCTGCTCACGCTGTCTCTCTCTCTCTCCTAGAAATAAATAAAACATTAAAAAAAAAAAAAAAAAAAAGAAGGGGCACGGATCTAAGGAGTGTGGAGTCAGAAGAGAGGCTGGCTGGAAAGGGCATGCAAAGGGCACAGCGCGCTGACCGCACTCACAGCCAAGAAGACGGGTGTGGAGAGAGATCCAAGGAACCAAGAAAGCCTTTCAGAGCCGTCAAAGGCTGAAAATGAGCAGCCAGGGAGGGAGAAAGGAAAACTAGGGGTGTGCAGACAGCCAAGGGGGAACGGTATGCGGGGCAGCGGCGTAGACACACACAAGATACCAGACCAAGATGAAGACAGAAAAGGGGCTGCTGGATTTGGCTCCTTGGAGGTCAGAGTGACCTTGACTAGAGGGGTTCCCGATGGGAGCGGGAAAAGGCTAGAAACCAGCGTGGTAGGAGCTGAGTAGTGAATCCCAGGTAGGGAAGTTAGTTCCGCAAACTAGGGCTACTGAAGGACTGCGACGATTTTAAGACGGCTGTGGGATTGAGGTTTTTGGTTAAGCCATTCTCAGGGCCCTTTCTAGAAGCCCCCTCCCAACCCCCTCCGACCTTGACAGCTCTCTCCACGTGGATCCTGGCGTTTCTGAGCCGGCCCATGTGGTGAGACGTCTTGGAGAATCCTCGCCAGAGGACAAGGGAACCTGCAGAAAGATGCGGAGTAGGGCTGGGGCGGGCTGGGAGCGTCTCTCCGGGCCTCCGACGCCCACGCCCCTTTCTCCACCCTTCATCCGGATGCCCACACTCCGCACTGCTCCAGACCCCCTCGTTCCCTCCACCCCAAGTCGTCTCGTCCTCGCCACCACCTCCGACCAGGATGGGCGGGCCGCAACGGGCCTCATCCTCCTGCGACTGGGCATCATCCAGGGCCGAGGTGTGCGGGGACCTGAAACGGCGGAGATCCGCGGCGCTCTGCGCGTGGACGCCGTAGGCCGGCAATGCAAAGGCGCGGCTGCGGCAGCGCGCAGAGGCGGGGCTGCAGGGCCCGCGTTTGCCGCGGGCGCGACCCCCGTCGGGCCGGGCGGAGGCGGGCCCGGGCCCCGGCCGCTCCTCGGGAGGCTGGGACTCGGTGTGGGGCGCACGGGGCCATGGGGCGGGGGTTCTGGTGCGTGACTCGGCGGGCTGCGGCTTCCGCGGCCAGCTGCGCGCCCGGCCGCCCTCCTGGCGGAACCAGGCGGCAGAAGCCCGGCGCGCGGCCCCCAGCGCCCCGGCACTCGGAAGCAGCGCGGCGCCGGGGCCCTGCATGCGCCCCTCACCGCGCGCGAGAACCCGCCTCCCCTCTGTGCGCCGCCTCTTCTCGGGGGAGGGCCCGGCGGAGGCTGGAGCGGAGCCCTCAGTTCCGAGGCCCCGCCCTCTGTTTGCTGTCGCCCTGGAAACCATTCCCAGGGCACAATCAGGGCTCGGGTAGTGGGTTCGGGGACTCCCTCCAGCGGGCTGAAATCCGGACCTCACCGAGGGTGGAAGCGCAGAGCACTGGCACTGCCAGTTAATTTCAGTGCCATGGTTCCTGTGGCTTGAGTCATTCCACGGTATTTATAGAGGGCCACCGTGCTAGGCAGGCAGCAGTCCAAGTGCTGGAGACTGGAAGAACAAGCTAGAGGTGATCCCTGACCCCACGGAGCTTACAGCCCAGTGGAGGGAAAACAAAATAGCAAGCAACAAAGAAATAAAACTGCTGTAGGTGTGAAAAGGGCAATGAACAAGCAGTAAACTGAAACCAGGAAGGGGATAAAGTTTAGACAAGGCAAAGATGTCCTCTCTGAAGAGGTGACACTTAAGCTGAAGCCTACACAACGCAAAAGAGGTCAGGAATTGGCTAGGGAAGAGAGGAGGAATAGTATTCCAGGGAGAGGAAAGTCTCAGCAAGTGCCCTGAGGAGGGGAAGAACCTTCCCCAGGAACTAAAAGGCAGCCAGTGTGGCTGGAGCCTGGTGAAGCTGGATCAGATCTGCCGGGCGAGGTGGATGGGCCCAGGGTAAGGTTCTTGGGGACTGATCTGAAAGCCAGGGCAGTATGTGGATGAAAACAATGAGAGAGTACAGAGTGCAGCACTATCTCCACCCCCAACCCCCTGCCCAGCCCCACACCACCAATAACTCAGAAACAGGAATACAGATCATGGAGTCAATCACAGAAAAAATGTAGCAGCCACAGCCCTCAACACTGCAAAGACTCTCAGGAACCTTTTTGGAGGTAGTGGCAAAGTATGATCTTCCAAAGTCACAGCTGACACAAATAAGGCTCCAAAATGTTAATTCGCCTAAAATCACACAGCAGAGCCAGCACCGGAACTCAGGTCAGACTCCAAAACCCCACTTTTATTTAACGTAAGTACACATTATCACTCAGACGGGCTACCTATGAGTCATAGAAGTACCAAAGGAGCAATTTGAGGTACGAACTCCAGCAATGCCCATTTAAGCGGAGTCCGAGTAAGAGTACTCTGGTCCAAGAACCCAGCTTTAATTACAGGGTAAATCCGCCAGTACAGTGAAGGTGGGTCCTCAGCCTCACTGTCCAGGCCACCTCAACCTGAGATCACTCTTCCCAACCCTTCTTGTTTGGAGGCTGGGCTTCCCGAAAGGAAGCCCCCCCCCACCCCAGAAGGGGGCGGGCTGATTGGCAACCATCTGGTCTGTTCTTTCTCCTCAGCCTCAAATCTGGCTTTAGGGGCTCCAGACCCTGGGAGATGGATCTGTGACAAATGGCTGGCTCACCTAGGCAATGCTGTCCTGTGAGGGTTCTGTGAGCAGCTGCCATTCTCTAGGGAACATCCAGCTTCACCGTGAACACCTGTAACACTGCAAAGCCAGAACACAGCCGTGTGCCCCAGAGGAGGGCACACCTAATTCTGTCGGCAGCAGGAGGAGGTCACAGAGGGAATGTCATAAAAGGGATGACAGCTGTCCGGGTTGCTCCCACCCCTAACCCTCTTCCCTTTAACTTTACCTCGAGAGACTTCTTTGGTGATCTGGAAGAAAACTCTTTGGAAAGCTCAGCTCAAAGGCTAACCCTTCGAAAATTTTCCCAATACCCACCTCCAGATTTCAGTTCATGAATATGAAAACACTTCAGTACGCCGATTTACACGCTTACGCTTTCACCGCCCACCCCCCAATCTCTCCAAGACAGGAATAAGGCCTTCCCCTCTCCCCCCCCCCCCCCCCATGCCTAGCAGAATGAAAATTACCAGTTTAGATACTAGGCTGGTGGAAAGATCAGCTGTCGTTTATTCAGTGCCTATGTGGCAGGTACTTTACCGGATTGTTTACATTATCTCCACTTTATAGATTAAGAAACTGAAGCACAGAATAAATATAAGTAACGTACAAATTCAGTCTTGAGAGTCAAGACTCAAACACAGTGTTTGTTGTTTTTTAACTTCAAGGAGTCACCAAAGTCTAGTGCTGTCCGACAGAACTTTCTCCGATAATGGAAATGTCACACACATACTCTCTGACATGGTAGGAAGTAATCATTGGTAGTTACTGAGCACCTGAAATGTCTCTGGTGGGACTGAGTTAGTGAATTTTAAGCGTTATTTAACTGTAATAAGTTAAACAGCCACATGTGGCTAGCGATTACAGATAGAGGCAGAAGCCTTGGTTTTGAACTCTACCCTCTTGCTCACTAGCTGGGAGATTTGGGCAAGCTGCTACATCGCAAGAAACCGGTTTCCTTAGTCATAACATAGAATTATTGTCTCTCTGAGGTTACCTTTTAGCCCAACTGAGCTCTTTATATGAAAAGGACCAAAGCTCTATATAGGCAGAGAGTGGTTTCAGAAATGAATGGTGCTTGGACTATATAACAGGGTCTGGGTCGGGGCCCTTGACACAGAGAACGTCAGAAACCAATCAGGAGACTACCTCTGATGGGGACCCCCGGGCCCAACTACTAGCTATGTGGTCTTGGGAAAAAAAAGCCCCACCTCCCCTCCTTTCATACACACAGTGCACAGACCTCATGCAGCCCCAAAGGGGCAAGAAGAGACTTTAATCAGGGGAGCAGGGAGGATTCACCAGAATAAGAAAAGGTACAGCGAGCGTGGGAGCAGAGGAGCCAGAGCAGGCGGGAGCGCCCCAGCTCAGGAAGCTCTGGGGGACTCCCCCCTCCACCTGTAGCACAGGCACTGCACTGACAGACAAGGCGCAACAGTGGCCCCTCTCAACTGGGAGGGCACAAAGTGGCCCCTGTGGCCAGAGGTACCTGGCTTTTAGGGCCCAGCTCCTAGACATGGCTGATGGCCACCAGTTCAGCCCTTGTCCTCAACCAGTGCGGGGTGGCCATCTTCAGGTAGAGCTCAGGAAGCTGGCAGAGGGTCCCCACAACTTCTACTGGGCCCAAGGAGGCTCAGGAATGAGAGAGCAAGAGAAAGGAACTGGAGTATGAAACCTTCCTCCTCCCCTCCCTCCCTCCCCACCTGGGGCTTGGCGAGGGGGTAATCAGGGAAGGGGGACAATAGTCGCCTTCTGGCTCCAGGCCCGCCCAGACCCACAGCGACCAATATGGTACAATCACTGGGACCAGTCACAGCCACTGGAGGTGGAGGTTGTTTGTTTAAAAAAGAAAAAAGGAAAAAAAAAAAAAAAAAAGACAAAAAGGTTTCAGTCTCCTACAAGCACAGAATTTAAGTTTCAAGACGTTAAAAAAAATCTGTCCCAGCCCAGGGGACTGAACATCAGAAGCCAGCCTGACCAGGCACCTGTGGCCTTGGGGCAGGTCCACTGCTGCTTTGTTGCCCAGCTAGCAAGCACACCACCCACCTCCCGCATCTCGTGCCCACCCAGACCCAGCTCCCCCGCTCTGCCGCCGCTGCTTGCTGCTGCCGCCGCCGCCGCCGCTCTAGGGAGTATCTCCAGGATGCCTTTGCAGAGACACGGGGGAGTCTGAGGGGGAAGGCCTCAAGATCCAGTCAGATGGTTTAAAACTGTCAAGAGAACCAAGAGGCAGCGAATGGTGGTTATTACAGCACGTATCTGGGCAGGCCTGCTCTGGGGAGGTGCGCCGATCTGAGAGATGCCACTACGCTCAGATTTCTGAGCGAAAGGGTTGGGTCCCAGGACACCTTGGGGGCGTGCGCTTTCTAATTCAGCCAGCCTTCAGCAGTGACCTTCAGGGCACTAGCCTTAAACCCAACACTGAACAAGGCAGAGAAATTAAGGGCGAGGTGGGCTTTTCCCCAGCTCCCCTTAGCCCTGTCATGGAGGCTGCTACAGAGCTGTTGCTACGCCTTGCTTGGTGAACTGAAGTTGCCTTCTTTAGAGATGAGGGGCCTACATGCAAGTGCGTGAGCATGGAGAGAGCCAAGAGCAGAGGGACCCAGGATCTGGTACTTTGTGTCAAGCTCTGGGTGGATCTCCAACCATAACGGGCCCTTGAAATGTTTTCTGACCTCAAGTATCCCTAATGGTGCCCAGAACGGCCCTGGACATTTTACAGACCAGAAGCGGTGGACCAACAGCCCACAAACTGAACCCAGCCCAATAATGAGCAATGTCTGGCCCATAAAGTATTTTTAAAAAGATATGAGCGATTTACAACCTTGAAAATATCCAAGGTGTTGCATATGAATCCAGACTTGGGGATTCTTTTGAAAAGCCAGAAGATGGAACCATAATGGGCAGGAGCTCCGTGGTAGTGATCCTCTTGAGACGAGGCACATGCTTACCAGGTTCCCAGCAGCCCACTTCACTCGCGTGCATCACCTGCCTCACCCCTGCATGCACTTGAGTATGTGACCCCTGCCAAGTGTCACGGTGCTATCTTTGATTTTTCAATCTGAAAAGCAAGCTGCAAGTCCCGGTTCCTCGTCTTACTAGCTGAGGGTCCTGGGTAGGTGATCTGACTTCCAAAGCCCGGTTTACTCATCTATAAAATAGGGGGGACACCTGACTCAAAAAAGGTTTCAGGGATTAAACAATGAAAATGCAGTTTTCATAATTAAATGACTCTTGAAGGAATGAGCCAAATAATAAATCGGGACAAGAATTATTTTCTTTCGTAGTTGAATCTAGAGGCTTCGTGGTGCCTTGGCCATAAAACTCTGGTGCAACAGTACCTGAAAAGCTTACTAGTTACCAGGTGATCTGCTCTGTATACATTTTCTCATTTAATGCTCAACCATCCTGAGAGGTACATGTTAACGGTCTCATTTCTCAGCCGAGGAAACTGGGGCTTTGTTGAGAGGTCCAGGAACACGCCCGAGCAGGCAGCAAAGCGAGACTCACACAAAGGTGGTGGGACTCCACAGCCTGTGTGATCTGAACAAGCACGCTACCCTGCGTGCACAGTACAGCTACTTTGTACACTGGCTGCCCTCAGTATAATTAAGGCCCAGGGGAAGCAGGCGTAATTTCCATTTTTAGGAATCTGAACTCCTTCCGGGCTGGATCTGTATGCGCTGGTAGGAGTAAACACTTAAATCTACCATCTAGGGATCATAGTTGACTCTGAGCAGAACATGTCAACAAACCAAAGACTGTTTAGAAAAAGAAACAAAAAAAAAAGGCAGGAAATCTCGAATATCTAAATTAGAGCAACTGTGTCATCAGCTCATCAGTGTAAACAATTCCTCCTCTTCGGAGGGCTGCAGTCTTCTCAGTCAGTTAGGAAGACACAAACAACTGAAGAGAGACCTGAAGGACTAAAGCCATGAAAGTAATGGAGAACAGGCTGAAACGTGAGGACTGTAAGCGTGAGAAACAGACACTGAAGGAAAATATTTAAGTCTGTCTGAGAAGTAGAATTACACTATGATTAACTGCCCTATATTCTTGGAAAATTCCCATGTGGATTTAACTTGCCTCACTTGGGGTTTGAACTAGATACAGAAAAGGCCTGTGTACATTTCGAGCTGTAGAAAGGAGCGTCTAAGTCTCCACGAGCGACTGAGAGAGGTGTCCTGGAGGCACTCAAATACAGAAAACGCCCTGCGGCTCCCAAAGATGACCCTCAGGTCCCCCAGCCCCAAGGCACCTGGCTGATGTGCCACCCACCAGAGGGTCCTAGAGGCCTCAGAAATACCCACCGCTGGCACCACTTTACCACCAGATTCTAAGCTCTCAGCCCACGGCACCTCCCACCTGTGTGGGGACACCAGTAAGCCCTCCCACTTACATTCTTGAGGAACTCCTCGGCCACGATGCGCGCACGAGCATTGACCGACAGCTTCATCTCGCTGATTTCCTTGTCAATCTCCTCCATGAAGTGGATCACAAAGTCCACCAACTTGTGTTTGTACATCTGCTCTGTGTGGAAGTTGGTGATCAGAAAACTGATGTCGTATCCCTGGGGAAGGAAGCCAGTAGGAAGGAGGAAGAGAAAAAACATGAGAGAATTAGCTTTCCAGGGCACTTAGTTAACTGTGTCCTCTAAGGTCACTGAGCTTTACGCTTGCTACTGGCTGCGATCTCCTCCCAAGTCGCATGCCCTTCGGGCAGCAGCCCACCAGCTCTGCTAGAGTGTCTACGCTGCGTCCAAGGAACTGACCCCGGGTGAGAATTCTGTGTCTGTCAGGCATCCCTGGAAAACTACCTGTGGTACAGACAGCTGCATGCAGAATGAGTCACGGGAGAGTGAAGGAACTTGAAATCTTGTAACAGAAGAATCTAATCAAACAGAAGAGATGCTACGGGATAAGGATGGGACTGGGTGGGTGTGGAGGAGCCATCTTATTTGCTCTGGGTGGCCGCAGAGGCTACATCTAGGAGCTAGATCTAGATTTAGCTCAGGATGAGGACGAGGTCGGCCAACACATCTGACGGTACATGCTGCTCTGCGTGGTAGCTGCTCAATCACTGGGGATGTTTTAAGTTGATCTGGCGGGGAGTCTGTGGAAAGCACTCAAGTACAAAGTCAGGCAACAACGGGGCCAATGTCAACTGTGGTCCTGAGAGGCAATGATTCAGGTGGTGGCAGAGCTTAGAGAGGATCTGATTCATCGTGGCCTTCCTGCCGTTAAGGCTCCGGGAAGATGAGCCACGCATCTCTTATTTTTTTGCCTTTTCCAGGGTCGAGGCAGACCCAACTTCTCTTAAGCTCCTGATCCCCCTTCCTCCCACTCCCGCCGAAATGAAGGCCCACTCTCCACTCGGGCAGTGGTTGTCCTGCAGCTGGAGAAGCAATCGTGGTTCTGTGAACAATCCCTGGCCAGTGACAGTGGACTTGGTGGAAGAACCTTGGGTATTATGAACATGTGGCTTGTACGGTCTCACCTCCACTGGTTTCCTTCGAAGGATAAAGAAGTTCTCTGCTCGCATCATCATGAAGCGCATGAACTTATGGCATAAGATCTTCTCAATCTCATCAGCCTAGTAAGAGAGAAGGACAAATAGGTCTCCTTAATGTGACATCCTGGGCCAACAGAAACCTGTAGCCTGGTCTTCTGGCCTCAGTTTCCCCTGGGCCCGCTGCAAGCAGTGGGGTTTGGCACGGAGAACAGCGCTGCCTGAACTATGGGGCACCTGGTTGCCAACTGAATGTCTATCACGTTAGAGCCTCTTCAACGTGACAGGGCGTTACCAGTCTCACCTTCGCCCACTCCAGGGAGGGAATTCTGGCAAACCCGAGGTTTTTATCCGCTCCTTCCAGAAGTCATACCTACGTTCAGAGCTGCCTCTCCTTTGCCCATTTCACCAGGGCTGCCTTTTCCAAACTCTGTGATATATACCCTCTGGGGTTACCAGAGTTAAACTTAGGTGATCTCCGCTTTAATAGTTATAAACATCAAATAATCCCCAATGTTTTTCTCTGCTGAATTCTCACTGTATCTCATGGAAGAATTTTGCAGCTAGTTGTTGATCGCCCTTTTTAACAGAGCGGGCCCCAAGGACAGAGCTTTCTGTAGGCAACAGTGTCTCGTCTGAATAACAGCTTCGTTTTTCTTTCACTGAACTTATTTTTTTAGACTTCCCTCTACTTGACAAGTGATTTTCTATTACCGCATAAAGTTTCCTTTTCAAACAAATTTAAGTAAATGAAAAGTAAGTCAATTTAAGGAAATCCATTAAGCGAGTAACTGGCCAGGGGAAACATAAACATGGCAACAACTATGGGGGTGGGAGGGATATCAGGTGTTTGTGAAATATCACCTGAGAAAGGTAAGAAACGACACTGTGTTCTTTATCCTACATCTCTGTTTCAGAGGTTATAGCTATCAAATTGATACCGGTACTATTTACTTTTCTGAAATGGATTTATTCTCCCTTCCTTATAAATGATTCTTGACGTGACACTAAACTGGTCACGGCCTTGGCTGCTACGTTTCCTGACTTCTAATCCAGAACAAGGCCTAGAAGACAGGGTTGCTCTGTCTACTCTACTGACCTGCTCAATTTGGCAAATCATTCCCTGGGTGCGGTCAAGAAGAGAGAGTCTGGGTCTCCTTGCACTCTGAACCTAGCACAATGATCTCTTAGATGAGGCTCCCTGGCCTCCCGAGGAGGCAGGGGCTCAGTGGTGAGCTCACCTGTTTCACAGCAATGCTGACCCGGACAGAGTTGATGGAGCCCTCAATCAGAACCTTTTCCTTCTCATTCCTGCTGATGGTCACAGGTTGTAACAGGAGCTCTTTGCTACTCCTGAAAACACAATGTCACAGAGGCATCTGTACTATAGAGGAACAGAATGCTCAGGGAGACCCCACAGCAGGTCCTGGAATCTCTATCTGAGACCATAGAGTCCAAGGAAGAGGAGACTCGACTCACAAGCAGGGGTGCTCCAAGATGGGGGCCAGCGAGCGTGTTCTCCCACAGAAGGAGCAAGGCTCTAGAGTCGGGGCGAAAAGGTTTTGACATCCAGCCTCCTCTGTTACTTTCCTTGGACAAGTTACCCTGTTGGAATCTCAATTTCCTCATCTGTAAATGACTGATTCCTATTTCACTGGCGAGGACTGAGAGAGATCAAAAAGGGTCAATTGTCTAACAGAGTGCGGGGCACATGGTAAGAGCTTTACAAACGACAGCTCTCATTTCAATTAACTACAGGCAAACCCACATACCATTTAGGGAGTGAGAGGAGAGGGGCTGCCTTAGGGATAAATGGGCAAGCTACAAGCAAACACAGTTCGGCCTCGCTTTAACTGTCAATGATTCACTTATTCAGCATTAAGTCCCCTCTCAGCTCAGTTCCCATTTTGATGCCTCTGAACCTGCAGTCGTGTGTACTGGTAATTAAGATGCCTGGTGGAAAACACAGGGTAAGGAGAACAACGTGACACATGCGGATATCCTGTCAGTACGTTTAAATTCAAATCCTTTCAACGTGGTGTGGTAACACCGCTTATCTCAGTTAGATACGACTCGGGCTAAACTTTAAGGGGAAACAGAATAACTTATTTAACAAACTATAAACCAGGTAAGAGAAAATAACCCAAAACACGGGATACTTGGGATAAAGGAGGAGAGAGTCCACGGAGGCAGGGAAAAAACACCCCTTGATCTTTAAATTACAGAAGGATGGAGACGGGATCTCAGATAACAGAATTCTCCACCCTCTCCTTCAACTGGGTTCACTACTGCCACACGAGATCCTTCACCAACAGCCCCGCTGGGAACTCACACCTGGTGCCAAGCCATCTCGGTTCCGGATGAGCTCCTCCCCCGGGCTTTGTCCCGCCAACCCAATGACCCTGTTTTCCGAACCGTGCACGGGGAGCTGCTGTTCATCTGGCCACAAGACAAAATAAGCGAGCGGCAGCTGCCTCCAGCACCGGGGTGCGAATCCGTGGCAGCCTCCAGAAACTGCCACGTCTGGGGCTGAACCCGCCACCCCCGCCCTGACCTCTCTCTGCCCTACCTGACTTCCACCTCGGGCTTGTTGTGTCGTTCCACCACTTGGGAGGAGAAATTCTCCAGGCAGAGGGCGGCCTGCAGCGTGGCCCGCACGGCACTCAGGTAGGGGCGGAGAGTGGCAGTCTGTCGGAAAACACCCACGGGAGGGTCAGAATCGGTCTCAGCGAGCCCACCGGCCCCCCACTGCGGCTACACAGGAGCCAGGCGGTACTGACAGTACCTGGCTTTCAGACACCACAGTGAGCAAAACAGACTAGGCCTTCAAGGTGCCTTTCATCCTAAGTCTAGAGCAGTGGTTCTCAACAGGGGACCATTTTTCTTGCCAGGAGACATTCAGCAATGTCAGGACATTTTTCACTGGCAGGACTGGGGGTGGAATGGGAGAGCTACTGGCAACGAGGATGGCCCAGGCATACTGCTGAGCATCCTACAATGCACAAAAAAGAATTATTCAACTCCAAACAGGGCTGAGGTTGAGAAACGCTGGTCGAGAGGCGTACAGGTGAAGGACAGTCCTTCAGTCTGTCTTCTGAGCCGACAATAGATGTCTACTGTGTGCCAGGCACGGATCTAAATGCTAAGAATTTAAAGACCGCCTCTACCTTTAGGGGTGGGGGAAAAAATAAAAAATAAAGGCAATCTCTACCTTTAAATGGCTCCACTAGATAGTGGAGATAGAAATGGTGACTATGATATAAAGAAGGATGAAATGTGACATAATTAGACTGACAAATTATACTTCCAGAAGAAACTGGTTTGGAGGTGAAGATGAACATAGGATTAGAATGATTTTACAAGAAGGCAAAGTAGACTAAGGACATTCCCAGTAGAGGGATCAGCTTCTACCTACACTGGCCTCTCTTCAGTTCCTTGTATTAACTAAGTTCTTGCTCACCTCAGGGCTTTACCATGCTGATCTATCTCTCTGCAGGCGCCCCCCGCCTGTCTCTTGACCTATGCCAGCCCTTAGATTTTGGCTTATTCAGGGAAGGCCTTAGAGAGGCCTCTCTCGACTTCCCCCTTCAGAGCATTTATTATATCTACAATGACGCATCCTTTATATTTACTTCATAAGGTGAGGTCTTCTCCACTAGACTTTAAGCTTCCTGGTCTTTTATTGAAATCTACCTTCCTTGCACCTTGCTCAGTACCTAACATATGCGGTATCTTACTCCTTTTCTAAACAGTATTATGGAAAATAACATAAACAAGGTTAGAATAAGGCAAAAGGGCATTAAGAGTTCCAGAAATAGTGATGAGTATAGAAACAGTGAGGAGTACAGTGTTGCTGTATACACATAGCACTTTTTCTAAGTAAGTGGGCTTCATGCCCAGCATGGAGCCCAACGTGGGGCTTGAACTCACAAGCCTGAAATCAAGGGCTGCTGAACTGACAGCCACCCAGGTGCCCCTACGGGGAGCATTTTAGATTCGGCAGATGAGGCTGCAATGGTAGACTAGAGATTCGTGGGTAATGTCAAATGGCAGACTGTTGAGCTTAGCCTTTCTTTTAGGTGTAAGGAACTGTTGGGGCTTTCTGAGGAGGAAGTTACACGACTACAGTTACATGGGGGCTCTGCAGAGAAGGGACTGGAGAGGGAAGTGAGACAAACACCAGAGAGGGTTATTCAAGGAGCACTGATGACAGCCCGGACTGGGGTGGCAGAAAGGACAAGTACAGAGTCCTCCCAAGAATTGGACTGACCTAAGACGTAGAGGATAATGGAATAAAAAAACACCTCCCAACAAACCAGGGGTCACCCATTTGACGCAACACCACTCAGCAATAAAAAGGAAAAACTACGGATACATGCAACATGGATGAATCTCAAATGCATTATGTTAAGAAGCCACATTAAAAGGTCCACACACTGAAGAACTCCTTTTCTATGACAATACAGAAAAGGCAAAACTATAGGAGAAAAAAAAACCACTGGTTGCTGGAATGAGAAGACAGGACTGATACGAGAGGGGCTTGAGGGAGTTTTCTGAGGAAGCATTCTGTTATCTTGATTTAGTACTGACATGACTGTGTTTGTCAAAATTGATAAATCTAGAAGGATGATTTCTAGCCGGCAAGCCCCATGACCCCTGCCCTTTTACAGATGCAACGCATTCTCATGTAATACCTCAATAAAGTTGACTTTCAGAAAATCCACGAGGTGTGGCCTCAATTAGGGAAAAAAAGGAGATCCAGGTTTCTAGCTGAGGTAAGAAGACACAGAGCCACGACAAGCAACACAGGAAGAAAAGCAAGTTTAGGACAAAAAACGGGCTTTGATCTGGAGGTCTAATGTGAAGGGGTCATCAAGATATCCAGGCAAACCTTGAGAGAGGGCGAGGAAGGCAGATTCAACTGTCACCAGAACACACAAGGTCACCAAACCCAAGAAACTAGACAGGTACCACTAGGAAACCTGTAAGGAGGGAGGTGGCGAGCCAGCCTCGACTCCCAGGAACACCCACATTTATCAAAAGCGAGGATTTCCAGGAAGGGAGGGATCCATAGTATCAGAGCTGACGCACGACAGTTAAGATTAATACGGGTTGAGCTCGGACCAGGAAGAGGTCTGGGCGGCGGCAGCAGAAAAGAAATACTTCGGTGGTGTAGAAGCAAAGCAGGGGGGTAAGAGGAGTGGGAGAAGCAAGTGTAGACGCTTCCTTTGAGAAACTGCGGGTCAAGCAGGCACGAGAGAACAGGGCAGTGTATTCAGAGAAGTTCTACTGTAGGTGAGGAGACGGCCCTACTCCCTGCCCCAGCTCCCCTACTATGGGCAATGAGGCCTACTACGTGTCTTCGAGGCGCTACCACCAGCCCCACTTCCGGCGTCCTCCATGCCTCCCAATTCCCTACCTGCAGCGAAAGCCAGACCATGGAGCCGCAAGGCCTGCTTCCTACGAGGGCGTCCCCCGCTCGCCCCTTCCTCACTTCGGCTCCCGCCCCGCCCTCCCGCTCCCAGCCTCATCACGCCCCCACACCCGGCAGCATCCCTCGGCCCCGGTCCTCTCCGCTGCAAAGCCGCGTCTCCCCCAGACCCCGAGCTCTGAGGCAAATCAGCGGGGGGTCCCTGGCCCGGGGCCCGGCTCTCTCACCATCGCGGGCGCTGGCTGGGCCGGAAAGCGGAAGTGCGGAAGTGGCCAGCCCCGCGACGCCAGCCCTTTCGCGAGAAGCGCAGCCTCGGTCTCCGCCCGGACTTCCGGACGGTACCACCTCTGCTCCGAGCGGAGAAGGGGGAGCCTAGGAGCGCTCGATCCTTCGGAAGCTTCTCCGCTAGGACTGTCTCGGTATTTTTAGACTCCTGAAGCTTCAGGTCCATACGCCAGCCTACCCCACTATGCATGCCGCTCTCGCTTGTGACTTTGGCCTTCTTGTCGTCTGTGCTACTGTCTTTCCCCATAGTCAGGCAATGGTGCAGCCCGGCCTCAGGTTGGGCACCATATTAGGACAAGGCGAGGCAGAGGAGCTCTTCGTTCCTTCCGGTTCCGCGCCCCTATCTTTTCTCTGGGCCCCTCCTACCTGCGGCCCCAGGGGCCCGGCGGAACTGACTGCCGGGCTGGGATCGCGGCCGCCGAGCCCCGCCCCCCAGCCTCGGGCTGTTCCCCACAGTAGGCCCGAGGCGTAACCCCCCCATCCCACCTGCAGTGGGCTCGCTCACGGCCTGCAAACCCTTCCCCGCAAGCCACACTGGGCTCTCCCTCGCGTCTCCCACCCGCGCGTCCTCTGCAGGGGGCCCGCCCCTAGCCAGTTCCGGGGCGGTTGCTCCCACCAACCGGAACTCCCCAACCCCTCCCGCGGCCTGGGGGCCGTAGGAGCCTGCAGGAGGCTGCAGTGAGGAGGTAGAGGGGGCAGGGGCCGCGTTAGGGGGTCCCTGGAGGACGGGGACCCTGAAGGCGAGTCACTGGGGCGACCCACGGGAGGGGCCAGACATTAAACAGGCGCACTTCTGTGCCAGGCACTGAGCTGGGCTCTTGACGAGCATCCTCTCTTAATCCACAGAACATCCCGGGGAGGTAGGTACTATTGTGATCCCCACTTTATAGATTCAGACTTCTTATGGGGAAGCATTCAGATTTCTTTTGTCCCCATTTTGTAGATGGGAAAACCGAAACTCGGGAAGGTTAAATAACATATTCAGAGCTACTTAAATGAAAATGAGATGGTGGTAAAAAGCTGGGCTTGAACCCAGGTATGTCTGGCTTACCAGCCCACATTTTTTTTTTCTGATTTTTTTTTTAACGTTTACTTTTGAGAGAGAGACAGAGCACGAGAAGGGGAGGGGCAAAAAGAGAGACACAGACTCGGAAACGGGCTCCAGGCTCCAAGCTGTCAGCACAGAGCCTGCCCTGGGGCTCAAACCCACAAACCCTCAGATCACGACCTGAGCTGAAGTCAGAAGCTTAAGGAACTGAGCCACCTAGGCTAGCTCCTTACTAGCCCACCTTCTTAACCACTGTCAGGGGCAAAGAGAAGGGATAAAGATGGGAAGGAGTGAGACAGAGAGGCTGGGAGGCACAGAGAACATTAACGTTGTGAGAATGGGATGTTTGGAGCTCAGGGGCTTAGCAGAACCCGGGAGGAGAACAGAAGAGCATCAGGAAGACAGGGCATAGTATATCACGGTAATTAGTGACACAGACTCAAAACTACCTGGCTTCAGGTTGCATCTTGGTAAACTTGGGCAGTTAAAATCCTTAGAGTCTGAGTTTCCTTATCTGTAAAGCGTAGATCACCATTGTCCCTGCTCATGGGGTTGGGTGAGAGTTTTTGAGAAACCAGTAAAACGTCTGCCCTTAGCTTAATGCACGGTAAGAGCTGTGAGTAGGAGCTGTGCCGTCAACCTTGTCAGTAGGGTACTGAAGCCTGGCTTTCCCTTGAGACTGTCCCTAGAAGGAGGGAGCTCTTAGACTTTTCTCGTCCCATTTTATCTTCTATCCATGGCTCTCTTCTCTCCAGTTCCACAGGGTCCTGTATCCTGGGCCATGAGTGAACTGAAGGACTGCCCTTTGCAGTTCCATGACTTCAAGTCTGTGGACCACCTGAAGGTTTGTCCACGCTACACGGCAGTGCTAGCCCGCTCTGAGGATGATGGCATCGGCATTGAGGAGCTGGACACTCTGCAGCTGGAGCTTGAGACCCTCCTTTCCTCTGCCAGCCGGCGCCTACGGGTTCTCGAGGCTGAAACCCAGGTGATACCCTACAGAGAGGATATCACCAGGGATGGACTGTGACAAGTTATGGGATGGGTCATTGAATCAGCCCCGCCTGCTGAGGCCTTGGGGGGGGACAGGAGCTTCGAGGGGTAAGGAGAGACCTAAACTGGGCTCGTGTGACATGTAAGAATACACAAGAATGCACGATCCTCATAACTTTCAAGACTTCTAGTTTACTGACCCCCGACCCCCGTTATGTTTTGGGCACCAGTCATTAGAGAGAGGTAATTTTTATGACACTGCTGGTCTTCAGGGAATTTGCCAATTAAAGGGAGAGGGAGGTCAGACAAATACCAGGTGATGCTGGTTACAATTAGAAGTACTAGGGATTGAGGAGGCCTGGCCTAACTCCTGGCCTAAGCACTCGCTAGTGTTGCGGTTTCCTAACTGTGTGATTTTGGGACAGTTGCCTCCTATCTCTGAGCATCGGTTCCAAATCTGCAAACTGGGCTGAATAATAGGAGCTACCTCAGAGCTTTTCTGAGGATTGAAAGAGAGATTTTTTGCAAAACCGCATTCAGTGTCTGACACTAAGTATTTCAAATGTTATTTGGTACTACTCTGATTATTTCTGTTGACAATGTAAATATCCCCTGAGCCCCGTGTGCCAGATGCTATGCTATGCCAGATCCTGGGGAACAGAGATAGTTAAGATGAGTTTCCTGGGCTCCAGTAGCTTACAGCCTAGTTGAAAAGACAAGGTATGCTGTTCCTTCCGGGTTGATCAAACAACACAACTGGGCCTGCAGTGGAGGTACAAAGTACAGAGACTCAGAGAGGACAAAGGGGCCTTTTTATTTGGAGCTCAGAGGCTGAAGAGTTAACTCACGGTCCCTGGAAGCGCAGTGAAGCACTGAAGCGAGCAGGGCTGCAGCATAATCAGTTGCATTATGGCTTTTAAGAAGCTGGGTAACTGATGCCAAGAAGGCTTCCCAGTTGTGGTGAAATTTGAAGTGAAGGTTTGCTGGGAGGCTTGTTTGCAAATTCCCCCGAAAGTTCCCACCGGTAGTTTCCAGTGCTAACGTGCTCTGGGGCATGATCATTTGACCTATAAGCCCTGTGAGTGGCTTGGGTGATACAGAGGTGAATCAGTACAGACAAATGAATGGAGTGGTGAGAAGTGTATGAATAAAGTTCTGTGAGGCTGGCACAGAAAAGGGGCTGAATTTTGAAGGATGGGTAGGAGTTTACTAAACAGGAGATGGGTAAATAAAAAGACCTTGGAATCTTCTCAAGTTCTAGGTCCTAATTCTTCCCTAGGAGGAAGAATTGTCCTCTGATTTCCCTTCTCCCCCTGAGTGACACTGAGTGACAGTGTCTGTAAATTTCAGATCCTCACGGACTGGCAGGATAAGAAAGGTGATCGCCGATTCCTGAAGCTGGGTCGAGACCACGAGCTCGGAGCTCCCCCCAAACATGGGAAGCCGAAGAAGCAGAAACTGGAAGGGAAGGCGGGACATGGGCCGGGCCCTGGCCCCGGGCGGCCCAAATCCAAAAACCTTCAGCCCAAGATCCAGGAATATGAATTCACTGATGACCCAATTGACGTGCCACGGATCCCCAAGAACGATGCGCCCAACAGGTTCCGGGCCAGAGACTATAGAGGGGCCTTTGGATTCAGCTCGTAGAGGCTGTGGCGGGGTCTGGGACTGAGGCTGGTGGGACAGGAGGTTCCCATTCAGGATCTGCTTCTCCCTGCAGGTTCTGGGCCTCAGTGGAGCCCTACTGTGCTGATATTACCAGTGAGGAGGTACGCACGCTAGAAGAACTACTAAAACCGCCAGAAGATGAGGCTGAACATTACAAGGTAGAAACCCTGGGCCTTAGCTGAGCTAGAGGGCTCAGGGGTGCCTCAGAGTCAAAGATTCCAAAGTCATGTATCATCTTCCTTCCCCCAGCCTGCCCAGCATCCTATCTGCCGCATTAACCCACCCAGACACCCTGGCTCTAATTCTTAACTTTCTTGCATTGTTTCCGCTCTACCCCATCCAAATGATCGCCACATACATCCTACAGGATCTGCTTCATTGAGGCTGTCCTTTGTACCAACATCTCCATCCCCTTGCTTTTTTTTTTTTTTTTAATTTTTAAAAAATATGTATGTATTTTTGAGAGAGAGACAGAATGCGAGCAGGGGAGGAGTAGAGAGAGAGGGAGACACAGAATCTGAAGCAGGCTCCAGGCTCAGAACTGTCAGCACAGAGCCCCAAGCGCGGCTTGAACCCAGAAAACGTGAAATCATGACCTGAGCTGAAGTCGAATGCTTAACCAACTGAGCCCCTCAGGCGCCCCCCCCCCCCCCCCCCCCCCCCCCCCCCCCCCCCCCGCTTTGATTGAAGCGTTCATCAGCTTCCGTCCAAATGGTGTCTTGAAGCGTTCATCAGCTTCCGTCCAAATGGTGTCTTAACACTCCCTGCCTCCAGAGTGACTTTTTTTCTTTCTTTAATATGTAAAAGTTAGGTTTCTTATGATGTAAATAAAACGAGCTCCATTAAAGGAAATGTAGAAAATACAGATGGGTGTTTGGGAGAACTCTTCCATAGCCCAGCTGTTGTGATCAGATGTGACATAGGCCTGTTCCCAGGCGTCTTCTGGCTCCTGTTTCGCACAAGATCGATTCCAAGTAGTTTGGTCCTTGGTGACACAGCCCCACTGCCCCTCTCCAGTTTCCTCAGCCATTCCCCCTCCTCACTGCTGCATTTACCAGCCCCACAAGCACTTTAGCCTCCCTCTAGGCCCACACGGGATCCTTGCTGGTCTCTGGGCCTTCGCACATGTTCCTCCTTTTTCCCTTGGCAAACTGACTCGTCCTTCAAAGCACCGATCTCCTCTTAGCTCCACCAAAATGCCTTTGCAGATTGCTTGCAGAAAATTGCTCTTTTATGTGCCACAACACCTTGACCTACCTCTAGCACTCCAGTTCTTTGAATTTTTAAAAAACTTCCTCGAAAAAAACCTTTTTTTTTGAAAAGGTAGTCCATATAGGCAGTAGCGAATCCAAGGAATACAAAACATGATTTCCTCTCCCGACCCTAAGGCTCCTAGTTCTTTCTAGGAACAACAGCTCTGA